TACAATTGTATTTAAAATCAGTTACGTTTCCAAACCTAAACTAATTGCTGATTTCATTCCTTACCAGTGCTGTTGCTCCATTTAATGATTAATGAGTGAGGAGGTTGGGTGACTCTTGGGATTTGCCCTGGCTGTATGCAGGCAGCGGTGTGATCATCAGTGTACACAGCTGGAGCAGTAATTGCCTGTTGAGACTTGCAGTGCACAGTTAATGTGTTTCTATTTGGATATCAAAACATTAACATGTTGTTAGACAGGGCTTGTACTGCTTGAATCCAGGTTGCCTTAAAAGGAGCAAAATATTTGGAAAACTACACTTGATAGACCTGCTATTTGCATGGCTTATCGGCCTTTTGCATTTCCCCTGAAAATTAAATCTTTCCTTGCATTTTAAAATGTGTTGTACATCTTGGTGGGTCTCCAGCGTAAGTGTATGTAACAATGATGTGCAGTCACACAGGACCAGGAATTCCTGTCTTGTCTCCTCAGTCAAAATGTTAATTCATATCTTAGTCTTTTCCTGACTTGTTTACTATTGTCTCGCTTCAGTCTTCCTCCCTCTCTCCATAATTTTGTCGCAGCCATAGTCATTCACCTCTCAGCATTGCTCAGACCACACAATACCTACACACTTTCTTATTGTTTCCTCCCCACATGTTTAAAGTAACATGTACCATGTACATCTATGGCACTGTATAAACAAGTCAACAGAGCACAATCAAGTATCAATAAATGAGTATGTAACAAAGTATACTGGAATGAAAGCATTGAAGAAACTAGAGGGCAGTAAGTAGAAAATGTATTCATAAAAGTAGCAGGTGGGGACTTTGATCTAGAGATTTCAAGCTGCAAAAGTGAAATATATTTCTGCTCTGGGGGGAGAGTCCCAGAGGATCCTCACAGGGGTGGGAATCTTTTTCAGCCCAAGGCTTGGGTTCTCTCATGAGCAACGTTCTAGGGTCTGCATGGCAGCAGTTGGCAGGAACAGAGGCAAAGTGAGTGGCATAACAGATGACAGCTACTTTTGTACAGTAGGCTACATTGCAGAAGATAGTACACCCCTCGCCACATCTTCATCAGGTAAGCAAGAGGTACTGTTATCACAGTTCAAGGCCACATTCAGTCAGGTATAAGCATTCAAGGAGAATGAGAAGCAGGACTAATATGGCCTGTGGCTCCTCTATGACTAATGTGAACTGCTGAACCTTTGCAGCAGGGGCACTGCTGTACAGTTGTACCTTGGATCTCAAAAACCTTGACTCCCGAACGATCGAAACCCAGAGGTGAGTGTTTCAGTTTTCTAGCATTCTTTTGGAACCCGAACATCCAGTGCGGGTTCCGCGCTTTGGTTTCCGAACGTTTTGGAAGTTGAACGGACTTCTGGAACAGATTCCGTTCAACTTCCAAGGTACGACTGTACTGTATTATCAGGATCTAATCATCTGGGAAGCCTACATGGGTATAACAATCTCCCTGCTGCAAAACTTCAGCCCTAAGGAACTGGAAAAGTAAACATGCATCTGTAAAAGAATAGCTTTCAGAAATGAGGTGGCTGTGTAAATTTACTTGGAAAAATCTTTGTTCTGACAAAATCAATGCGAAAGGTGGAAGATTTTTTTTTACTATTGAATTTAAAAGACTAGCTTGGATGGTGTGCAAAAACACAACAGGCATTGCTCTAAATGACTGACTGGATATTATGGAGAGTCGTAAAAGAGAACCACGCCGGGGAAATATGTATGGGAAGGAATAAAGAAAGGAGAAAGGGTGACCCTTTTGTGGTTTTGGATTGTAGCCAGGGAAATAAAATGTGTGTTTTCTTCTTCTTACATGAATTGTAATATTTTGTGCATGTTGAATAATTGCATTTAATAAAACGTCTGTAGAGACATAGCGCTCAGATTTAAGAAAATATTGCAATAAAACTTCCAGCTGACTGGGAAAACACAGTTAATATTGAGTCTCGTAGCACCTTTAAAGGCTAGCACATTTATTATAGCATGGTCCACAAAAAACCTATGCTATAAATGTGCCAAGTCTTAAGGGTGTCACAAGACTCTGTATATTTAACAGAGTTCGAGGTCTAAGTATTATTTGCAAAAAGTGCATTGCAACGCAGAGCAGAGAGTCAAGCCTATGCAGTCTCTGCTGGGAAATGCATTTGGAATTTTAAAGCAAACTGATGTATCTTCTCTGTTTATGTAAGCTTTAAATGCAGCCTTTGATGTTCTGTTTCCTGCCCTGACATGTATTTTTAAAAATGTAATTTTATCTAAGGTTTCACTGACAATTGGCCTGACTGACAACTGTAACATACAGCCAAATGTTAATGTTACATTCTCAGCATAGCTGAACCTTTATATAGAACCAAAGCCACAGCAGATTGTAGCAGCATGAAACAGTGGGGCGTATCCCACGTTTCCCCAGTGTCAGCATTATCTGTTAGCATCTTAAGCAGCAATTACAGTTTACGCAGGTGTGTCTAGTGACATTCCTTTGTAGTAGTTCTATTAATATTTGATGACAAAGACACTATTGCTGCATTGACATAAAGCACGGGCAGAGAAGTGAAATTCATACATGAAGCCTTGCTATGAATGCAAATTAGGTTTGCTTGGTTCCTTGGGGGAGATCCTTGAGGCTGAAATCATATGCACAGTTACTCGAGACAAAGTTCCATTGAACAGATTAGATTTATGACTGAGTAAAAAAATACATAGGATGACACTGTACGAGCACTAAAGAGCTCATCTGCAAAAGTTTTCCATTAGATATTATTTTATGGCATGTTGTAAAACAGGCCAGAGAGGTCCCTTTTATAAATAAAACTTACACGCAAAAATAGTGGAATGTGTTAAACACTTGTGAACCATCAAATTTACCTGAAACCTGAAACCATCAAATTTACCCATTTGTGCCATCTGGAATGGAATGGCCTGAAACACCAACTTCCTATCTATCTATCTATCTATCATCTATTTACTATACCACCCTTCATCCAAGGATCACAAGGTGATTTATAATACAAAAACAGAAAAATACATAACATAGTAACAAACAAAACAATAATACCTGCCTACACACAGTTCAAAAGGCAAAAGGTTGGTTGATTAGCCAAAGGCCTGGGAGAAGTTTTTGCCTGGTGTCTGTTTAAACCAATCAAATTCAGAAACTATACATGGATAAATAGGATTGATGCAATAAGCCATGAAATGTCTCCAGGGACAATAAACAGCATTTTGAAAAAAGAAAAATGGCCTTGATTGCCAGCCAAATGCTAACCAAACCAACCAAGTTCACAAGTCGCATTGGAACAGATGGGAATGATGCTATATCTGATGGTTATCTGATGCTCTGCAATACTGCTTATCCCCCACCTTACCAACCAACACCATCATCCTTTTCTAATGCCAACCACCCTGCAGTGGAAAACTAGGCTTGTATCCAGCGATGTTGTCCTATTAGTGCAAGTTCCACCTGTGCAATGAAACTTCCTCTCCCATCCCACGCTCCAATCTGTTCTGGGAGGATCCCAGACACAACCCCTAGAGAACATGCAAAGATTATAAGAAATAGTTACCTCAGCCAAGAGTGTTTTATTACAAGCCATAGAAAAGGGGTAACAGCTAGCCCACATCACACCAAGAAGTTTTGGCTGCCGGAAATGTGTTTACACACACACACACACACACACCCACACCCACACACACCCACCCACACCCCCAATCCTCTGATTCTGTGATGCCAATTTTTTTATGGTGTCCCAAATTAATTAACCTTATATTACTAACTACTCCTGTAGAACTCTCCCCCCCCCCTACAATACTGTGGTGGCAAAAGGTTCTTTTTGTGGCCCTATCTTTAAAACAAAAACCAAAAACCTGACTTCTCTTGAAATAACTCGCGGTGATGCTGAAACGTGTTGTGCGCCATCCAACCCACCCTGCAACTTATCCATTAAAAAAATAAAAACGATTTAAAACAGCGTAGAATAGATGATGAGCATAGAAGCCAACTCCTAAGGGATGAGGTCCCTTCGCCCCCCCCCCCCCCCCCAGTTGATGGGCATTGTAATTCAAATAGTGTGCGTGTGCTGCGTCTTGTGATCGATTATGTAGGGCGGGGCTTACCTGCCTCCCCACTCCCCAAAATCTTATTCTAGATGGCACCCCGGATGATGGGAAAACCTTTCGGAAAGCTGACTTGAAACCTGCCATCCTCGCCCTCGCCCATCCTGTCCCCGGAGAGCTGCCTGTGTCCGGATGCAGCCCTCGCTCCGAGGGAGGTTCTCTCTGACACCTTCCCTTCGCGAGCCTCTCTTCTACTATTTAATAATTTTATTTTAATAATAAAAGAGAGATTTCGGTGCAGCCCGCGACTTCTCCTCCCAAGACCTCGTGGTTTTGCCTCTCAAATAACATCCCTGAGTGGCAGCGCACCCCCCCTCTTAGGCTGCGGCAATTCTGTGCCCACTTACATGGGCGTAGCCAGCATTTATGTTGGGTGTACGTGTGCACGCGCGCAGAACCACAGTTAAATATTTTGTATTGATTTACTTGATTTTTTGGTGAGGGAGGGGGGCAGCTGCCGATCCCTGCGTCCCCTCGGCCCCGCCCAAGCCCACCTCCCCAAGAGTAAGCCCCATTCAACTCAGTGGGGCATATGGAGGCACGACGCTGCTTGCAACTATCTTGACTTCTATACTGTGCTTCTATCTAGTCACCCGCCGCTACGCTAACATTCTGATTGGTCCGCTTTGTTTCCCACTCCCGCCCACCGAGGAAAAAAAAAATAGAGGAAGCGGTGGCGAGATGCTAAATTTTCTTAGGTCTATGGTGCAACTTCAATTCTCGCGAGGCGGTAACCTTTTCCCACTACAATTCTCGCGATACCACTGGCCTCCTCTTGGTTCGTCCCCAAAGCCGGGACGCTCTCTCTCTCTTCCTTTCTCTCTCGCTTGCTTTGCTTTTGAATGATAGTCCCGTGACCCATTAGCGAAGGGCAACGTCAGCGGTGTGAGGGCGGGACGTCCGGTCGTGTCTCTTCTCTCCCCCTGTTTCCCGTCTCCCATTGCGGCTCGGCCAAACTTCCGCTGAGCTGTGCTTTGAAGGCCCGGCCCGGTCAGCCGGCGGCGCGGACACCATGGCTTGGGCTGCGCCCTCTTTGCCCAACGATAAGTCTCGGTAACGTGAGGTGGCGGTGCTGTCCGCGCTGCTTATGGTTCTTTCTGTGGCGGCTCCCCGCCATTTCTGCCGGCTGTGGGTTGGGGACCCCGAGTGGGGAAGGTGGTTATTATAAGTGGCCGTTATTCTCTTGGCGGTGTCGCCGCGCCTGCTGCTCGACGGCTGTGGCAGCCCTTGGATAAAAACGTATTTATAAGTAATTAGAACCGCGGGATAACTGTCTGCTGGTAGCCGAGCGACCTGGTTCAAATTCATTTTAATCTATTAGACCAGTGGTTCCCAACCTTTTTTTGGGCCGTGCCCCACCTAAGCATCTCTAAAATCCTGATGCCTTCCTCTCCCCTCCCGCCCCCGTGACATAGAATTCTTGTTATTCAAAAAGTGAACTCCTATTCACGTGGAGGAAGCCTAAAAGGCCATTCACTTGTTAATAACTCATTCTCAAATTGCCCCCCTTAAAAATCAAATTGCTCCCCTGTGGGCATGTGCCCCATGCTGGGAACCACGGTATTACACCAAAAGGGTTTTTGTGCATTAATTAATGCGCTTTTTGTAACTGGGGAAGCAAAATAATGTTTCGGAACCAAGAGCCGTACTTCCTTCTTAGATGGTATACGTGGAAGTAAGCATCCTCTTAGACCTTTTGCAGAACTGCGGCCTGGCTTTAACACAAGCATTCATATGGAGATCCTTCCCAATTATTATTATTATTTTATTTTAAGACATGTATTTCTATGGTTTTTATGCTGTTAATTTGCTGCAGTTCACTTAAGGATGTATTCATCTTGTGTTAGAGATGGGCCCCTTTAAGATGATGGCTCACACTGGCAAGTTTTATGGGCATTTAAAACAATATAAGTGGAATACATGGAATATATTCTTGCGGTACAGTTCTTGTTCAGAGTGTCCACCCGGCCCATGTCTAGGATTCTCTGTTCCATCCACACTCCTTTATTTTTAGGGTACACTGCAGTGGCCATTGAGCAAGCTCAATCCTAAATAGGTTGGTTTGAGGTTTCCCCATTTTTTAAAGACTTCTGTAAACCTTTTATCCTGTGAACCACCCTGAGACCTGCAGAGATAAGGTGGTATACAAATGAAATTAATGAATTAATAATTTAGGTTCCTCTAATCCTGCCAGTACCACCTTCTTGTATGTGGATGGTGCTGTTTTGCTAATAAGGCTAAGCATTTAGATAATTGATTGTTATTTGCTGTATTGAATATAATGTGTCTACTGCCTGGTTAAACAAGAGATACATTTTTAGTTGATTTAATTTTGTTGTTACTCAATTGATTAGTTAAGTATTATAGCCTTTGGGGGTGGCAGCCAAAGCCTTTAGCTCCATGCTTCACATTTGCAATCAAAGTGAAGGGGAAAGTGTATTTTCTTTAAAAAGTTGATCATGCCATTGTCTGACAGCTGTAACTCCACTTTGGTTGGCTCAAGGCTGGAACTTCAAAGTTGAGTCTCAGGCTGAGTCTTGGGGTGGCGTACAGTACTAAATATTCTAAACATGCACCAGCAGCTTTCAACTTGTGTTGCTTTTCTCTTGGCTTAGGTTCATCTGCATATATCCTGCCTATATAAATAACAAGAAGACAATAGCAGAAGGAAGAAGAATACCACTTGAGAAAGTAATTATGGATTGGGGAGGAGCGGGTCACATTTATTTATTTAAATATGTGTAAAACACACTTTCATTGGATATACAATATGGGGGTGTTCAACCTAAAAACATAATACAGCAGTAATAATGTTGGGTAAAAGAATTGGTAACATTAATAAAACTGGTTGGCAAAGAAATTATAAATTTAGTTATATACCCTTTTTATATATTGGAGCAATTATACTCAGCTTCCACAGCCTGAGCTGTTTATGTATGAAATTAGTTATATACATACCATGCATAAAAATAATTTGTAGAAAGGTGGAGGAGGGAATTAATGATTGTGTACATTTTAAAAATCACCTGTGCCAAATACCTAAAGGATTTTCTACTCCCTTCCCATCAAAGAGCCTTTATGCTCGCGATGTTAAATGCTTTCCTTTCAGCAGATTCTCACATACTCCATATCAAGCCTGTTTGTGTGTCTGCAACAAAGAAGTACCAGATTCAATGGACCACATTCTCTTAGATTGCCGTTTACATAGCATACCTCGCCAACTGATGCTGAGTAAAATGTTGCTTCTCTGGCCCACAACTCCAAGAAGAAATCAAATGAGGTTCCTCTTAGCAGATCGGGGCAAAGATACCACTGCTCTAGTAGCTTCCTTTTTAGCCACAATTTTACCCGAAAGGGTTTCCATCCCTTTGGGAAATAGCCTGGGTGTAGCAGAACATCTAAGTGCACACGACCACAGTGTGACCCTATAACCCTTGACAGCTTCACCCTTTTCTTTTTAATTATCCCAGTGATTTGAAACAGTTTATGTTGTGATGCCAATAAAGGTATTTGATTTGACATTTTAAAAATTTATTTACCAGAGACTGAAAGGTCTATGTCAGCCCCCCCCCCCGCCCTGTATTCTTAATAGTTGTGTTTCACCAGCTCAGAACATTTGGTTCTTGCCACAGTACTTTAATATCTCATGTTGGTGCAAAGTAATACTTACTGAACTGTTCATTGAGCATTTTTTAAACTTTATACACAATAAAAGCTTTATTACTTGGAGTAATCAACAATTTTAGCTGCACCTGATAGTAACTAAAAATGTCTGACTCTTCTAGGCAGTTGAAAATCCAACATCAACAGAAATTCAAGATGTATGTGCAGCAGTTGGACTTAATGTGCTTTTGGAGGTAAAAATATTTAGTTCTCAATGTAATTGGAGCATATACCACAGGTGTACATTGTTGGTTTCTATTTCCCTCACTGAGCAGCAACTGCAGTCACAAGACATTGTTTTGCATTCCACAGTCTGTACTGTTGGAGTTTCTCACGGGAAAGGGAGACTGGATGTGACGTACACTGGTTTCCTGTTTTTTCTCTGTGTGATTCTCTCCGAGCTGAGAGAGGAGAGAGGATGCATTTTCTGCTCCTGCAGAGGCAAGATGTCTTTCTGTAATATACCAGCTTTGAACTGTAAATAAAGCAATAAGGAGTATGCAGCACATTTTCCTCATCCTTCCGCTGGGCACGACAGACTCTGCTTTAAATCAACACGTGGTTATGGACTCCAGAGGTCGAATCGGAGTGCCGGCAGATCGGAATGCAGAGGGACGGATCGGAAAGGAATCTGCTCTGCGCGTAGAAGTGATTGATGAGGTATGTGCTACTGCTCCGGGCAGCCTGCCAGCTTCAAGATAATGGCTTTATGGCTGGACTTTGAACTTTTAAAGCCGGTTTTGCCAGGAATAGGCAAAAGGCTCCCAGGCACAAGTCACTATGCTGGGGAAATCGAAAGTAACTTTTAAGTGTGCCTTTGTAATGAAGCAGCTGCAGCAGTGACGCAGCAAGATTTAAAGCAGCATATGACGCTGAAGGCTAATGCCAGAGTCATGATGGCCCTTCAGGATGCTTGTGGGATTCCTAAGCTCAACAAGAAAAATTACAGCGACTGGGTTCAGTATGCAGAGGCAATTCTGCGGAAAGAGGGTTTGTTTGAGGTGATTACAGAAACCCCCAGTTCCAGTTACAGATGCATGGGAAGCTAAGGATTCCAAAGCAAGGGAACTCTTACATTGATAGTATCCCCAGAAGAGCTCTGTCTATTGCGTGATAAGACCTCAGCCAGAGAAATTTGGGACGCTCTGAGAGAGGCTCACTTAAGGACAGAAGCTGGATCCACTATGTTTTATTTTAACAAGCTGCATAATATGGCTCTTGCTGAAGGTGGAGATGTGCGTTTACATCTAATGGAGATGCAAAATCTGAGACATGAGCTGCAACAGAGAGGACTCAACTTTCCAGAGGCTGTGTATTCTTTCATGATACTACAATCTTTGGGTTCAGGTTGGGAGTCTGTTGCAACCCAGATTGCTGTGCAACCAACTGCTCAGCTGACAGTGGACTTTGTTACTGCCGTGATTTTAAATGAAGCAGATCGCCGGGGTGCTAGCTGCATGGGCAAGGAGAGTCTTCACAGACGTCATCCCATAGTGCAGTGGAACCACCAGATGGCGCCAAAGCTTTGAAGGCAGTCAAATGCTACTCGTGTGGACGTCTAGGCCATATGAAGAGGAATGCAGACATCCCAGGGCCAAGACAGAGCAGCGCAGCGAAGCTCATCGCGCGGAAAAGGCCGAGGCAAAGGCAAAGGTCCGGTGTCTAGGACAACGCAGCACAAGGCTATGGTTTCACGCTTCACTCCAAAGGTTGCAGAGGTCCAGAAGACGTCTAGATCTTTCTTCGTTGTTGATTCAGCGGCCACCCACCACATGTGCAACGATAAGAGACTGTTTGTGTCTTTTACACCGCAGGAAGGTGCGATTCACCAGGCGGATGACCACACTATTCCCAGTAAAGGCTACGGAACTGTTGTTCTTCACAGTTTGGACTTATCGATACAGAATGTGCTTTACGTGCCAGACGCCAAACATAATCTGCTCAGCGTTGGACAGCTGAATGAGCGGAACATTGACGTTTCCTTCAAGAACAAGAAGTGCATCATCACAAAGAAAAATGATTATGTATTGCATGCAGAATATGTTGATCATTTGTTTGTTTTGTATTATGATGATGTGGTGCAGGATGACACTTGTTGCATTGCAGGTTCTAACAAAAGTTTGCATGCAGAATGTATTCACGATTTTCATCGCAAATTTGGTCATTTGCATTTTGAGGCAGTATCTAAAATGCCTGCCTTGGTTGAAGGTATGACTATTAAACCCTGCAGGTACCACATGAAGTGCAAAGCATGCGCAGCAAACAAGGTGAAAATGGCTGCGAAAGGTAAGGTGTCTAGTAGGAAAGCTACAGAACCATACCAGGTTGTTCATGCTGATTTGGTTGGTCCACTAACGCCCTCTTTGGGTGGAAATAGGTACTTCATGGTTCTCATTGATGCATTTTCTAGATATATTTTTGTGTACAATCTCAAGCAGAAATCGGAGGCTTTTCCTAGGTTCAAGGAATTCTGTGCTTGGTTGGAAAATGTGCATGGTAAGAAGATAAAGACTCTTTTCAGTGATCGCGGGGGAATTCACTTCTCAGCAGTTTGAAGCTTTTCTGACTGAGAAAGGAATTCAACACGATTTGTCTAGTCCTCGCTCGCCATGGCAGAATGGACTTGCGGAACGGGCAAATCAGACATTGCTTCAAGGGTTAAAGACCTTGCTGCATGATGCCAATCTTCCAGAGAGTTATTGGGCCGAATCTCTCTCGTGTTTTGTTTACAGTTACAATCGCAGGTTATCTTCAGCGATTGGTTGTACCCCTATGAGAAGATGTTTGGCAAGAAGCCATACATCAAACACATGAAGATTTTGGTTCTGACATGTGGGTTCGCTCACCACAAAACTCCAAGTTAGACAAGCGTGGATTGCATGGTATCTTTCTAGGTTATCAGAAAGGGTCTTACAGAATAATGATGACTGACTCTAAGACAATTAAGCTCACGAGAAGTGTTGAGTACAATGCACAGTGGGGGGAGAATGTGGGAATTTTCCAATGTTATCCTGATGACGGTGATGAGACTGAGGATAGTCAAAAGCAACCACAACAACCCACACCCACTGATGAAGGTTCTGAGTCTGAATCTGAAACTGAATCGGGTGATTCAGAGGATTTCAAGAGTGCGAAAGCCTCTATGCGACCCTCTGAAAGCTCTGATCAAGAATTGGAGGAACCATTGTTCACAATAGGTCGTTTTTCTCCTAAGAAGGAAGAGGAGAGTGTTGAAGACTTAAGGCTAATTCGTAGGTCACAGAGAGCCACAAAAGGCAAACCTCCAAAGAGATTTGCTGATGAGTTTGCTACGATAGCAGTAACAGCTGTTAAAAGCTCCAAGAAGGTATTTGAACCTTCAAGTTTCCAAGAAATCCAGGGTTTGGATTCAAAGGAAGCTGAGCCATGGTTAAATGCCATGAAGGCTGAGCTTGATTCCTTAGAAAGGAACAAAACATGGGAGCTAGTTCCAGTAGTTCCAGGAATGAAACTGCTTGGAAGCAAATGGGTCTTCAAAGCGAAGACAGATCAAAATGGCAAGATAGTCAGACACAAAGCCAGATTGGTAGCCAGAGGTTTTGCACAGGTACCAGGTCAAGACTATCACGAGACCTATTCACCCACAGTGAGATATGAAAGCATTAGGCTTATGCTCAAGCTAGCTGCAGAGGAAAATCTACACATTAGTCACCATGATATTAATACAGCTTTTCTGTACGGATCTCTAGATGAATCACTTTATATGCTTCCACCTGATGGCGTACAGGTAAAACAGGGATTTGTTTGTGCTCTGAAGAAATCCCTTTATGGTCTCAAACAAAGTGCACGGTGTTGGCACACAAAACTCACTGAAGTATTGTTTTCTCTAGGTTTTCAGCAAGGAAAGCTGATCCATGTGTATTTGTCAAAGAGGAGGGGCAAAAGAAACTGTACTGTTTGTTTTATGTTGATGATTTATTATTCTTTTGGAAAGATGTTGCAATGTACAATAGCGCCCTAGCTCAACTGAAAGAGCACTTTGACATGAAAGATCTTGGTGAGGTAAACAACTACCTATCTCTGGAAATAGAGAGAGATCAAGATGGTAACATTCTAGTACACCAGTCACGGAAAATTGCTGATGTGTTAAGCAAACTAAATCTGATGGATGCTAACCCTGTAGACACACCGATGACAACAGGTTATCAGGTAGATGACACTGAAGAAGCATTTTCTGACACTACACTGTACAGGAGTGTGCTAGGCAAGCTAAACTTCATTGCCAGATGTTCAAGACCAGACATTGCTGTTAGCTGTAATTTGCTAAGCAGACAAGTCAACAATCCTAGTGTCAAGGATTGGAAAGCTCTGAAACGCATAGCGCGGTATTTGAAAGGCACTATGCATTACAGACTGAGATTTAACAATCAGAAGTCTGGTGGTCTTGAGATATTTGCAGATGCAAGTTTTGGAAGTGACGCTACAGACAGGAAAAGTACGTCTGGAGTTTGCTATATGTACAATCAGAGTCTGTTTGATTGGTCATGCAAGAAGCAAACAACAGTTAGCTTAAGTACTTGTGAAGCTGAACTGAATGCACTGTCTTATTCACTTAAGGATTGTGAATGGTTAGTACAATTGTGCAAAGATATGAAAATTCCTGTCAAATGTCCAATCCAGGTTTACCAGGACAACAAAGCATGTTTGGCTTTGCTGAAGTCTGAAGGTTGTAAGCAAAGCACAAAGCACTTGCAATTAAAGTTGCAGCATGCTAGGGAATGTATTCAGAAGGGACTCGTAACGGTGTCCTATACGCCAGGTAATGAAATTCCTGCTGATGTATTGTCCAAGATTGTATCAAGGGATCAACACTGTACCTATGTGCAGAAGTTGGATTTGTACTGATATTGTACGAACACGCTGCCCCGTGATGTTCCCCGAATGGGGGCGGCTGTTGGTTTCTATTTCCCTCACTGAGCAGCAACTGCAGTCACAAGACATTGTTTTGCATTCCACAGTCTGTACTGTTGGAGTTTCTCACGGGAAAGGGAGACTGGATGTGACGTACACTGGTTTCCTGTTTTTTCACTGTCTGTGTGATCCTCTCCGAGCTGAGAGAGGAGAGAGGATGCATTTTTCTGCTCCTGCAGAGGCAAGATGTCTTTCTGTAATATACCAGCTTTGAACTGTAAATAAAGCTATATGGAGTATGCAGCACATTTTCCTCATCCTTCCGTTGGGCACGACAGACTCTGCTTTAAATCAACACACATGTCTGTCCACTTTAGTTTTATTTATGCTTTTATTGTACTTGCTAGTTGCTTGTCTTTACAAAGAGTAAAAATATGTGTACAGTGGTGCCTTGCAAGACAAAATTAATTTGTTCCGCGAGTTTTGTCGTCTTGCGATTTTTTTCGTCTTGCGAAGCACGGTGTCGGGAAAGTTTTGGAAAAGCTTCAAAAATCACCAGAGTCTTTAAAAACCTCAAAAAAGGCTACCACACCGCGTTCTATGAGTTGCTCCTCGAAGTCAAGTCGCAACTGTATTAATGCTGTTAAGAAAAAGGAAACAAACTTGCAAGACGTTTCCGTCTTGCGAAGCAAGCCCATAGGGAAAATCGTCTTGCGAAGCAGCTCAAAAAACCCTTTCGTCTAGCGAGTTTTTTGTCTTGCGAGGCATTCGTCTTGCGAGGTACCACTGTACTACAAAATAAGTGTTCATATTTTTAATGGTAATCAGAGGTGCTTAGATTGGAAAGCACCTTAAGAGTAAGCTATGAGCTATAGGAATAATGGCCTACCTTATGGAACTTGTGTAAGGTTTACTAAAATAATGTGTGAAAAACTTGTGCAAACTAATTGTTCAGTCTTGAGCATCTTTACTCAGAGTTTAGTGTGGGTCTTACTCAATAGTAAGTGGACTTCATATTGCATAGTATGCATGTATTTTTAAGTAAGCCTGGTTATAAAATGGTAACCTTTTCCCCAAATGCTAGAAAAACAAAATGTATCCCAGGGAGTGGAACCGTGATGCACAATATAGAGGAAGAGTGCTCATTCAGCTGAAGACAGAAGATGGCAAACTATGTCAGCCTCAGTTTCCAACACGTGAGTGAGATTAGCTTTCTTAAATTATACTTTTTGAACTAAAGACACCTAAGTGTAGGTACCCAGAAGGTGTGTGTGTACATGCAGGGGTGGGGAGTCCTGCAAAAACCTTCCTTACAAAAAGGGGCTGCTAGAGGTAGTACTGCAATCTTATAGCCATATGTGACCACCTTCTATTCCCTAGGGATCACTGTTTTCCTAGTAAAAACAGTAGATATTTATTCCCTGCCCCCTTGTTCCTGATGTAGATCTTCCCTCAACCCTTTCTCCCTGGCGGAGAGGGGGAAGCTATTTTGTGGTTTGCCTCAGGTGCCAAAATGTCTTGGGCCAGCTAGAGCCCTTGATCATTTTCAAATACTTCTGTAAGCATAAGTCTAAATACAGTAGACATACCTTAGGTTACTGTTCTGCCACCTTACTCCAGCAGGATCCCAGTTCTCTTTGTGAATGGAAGGGCCCCTTCCATTCACAGAGGGCTCTTTCACAGCCAAACCCAACCATGTTACTTGAGATGGGTTCTTCTTTTTTGTAGCGAAGGAATGTGTGTGCAAGCCACCCATGTTTTGCTTGGCTGTACCCACTCTTGCCATTACAGCCCCTGGAAGGTTAGTTATGAGGGGTTTTGACCCTTGGGCTGAAAAAGGCTCCCCATTTCTGCTTCAGGTGACTAGTTTTGGGTGGTTCCCTGTGTAACTTCCAGTTACTTTGTAAATGCAGCAGCAGGGGTGGAAAATGAAAGGGCTTTTTCATTGTCTCTTCTCTCATTTTTCCTTTGCCTCTGTCCCCACCCCCACCTTAGGTAAGGCAGTGATGCTATATGCAGCAGAAACAATTCCTAAACTAAAAACAAGGACACAGAAAATGGGAAGCAGTGACCAAAGCCTACAGCAAGGAGAGGGAAGTAAAAAAGGTAAAGGAAAGAAGAAGAAATGAGTGTGGCTGGTACAAATGCAATGTATTAAGATGAATATAGATGAAGGGGATTATTGGCATCTGAACTGAAAGTTGGGAGAAACAAATGAGAACTGCAAAACTTTCTGGACTGGACTTCGTTTAACTTTTATCTAATGCTACAACAGATCAATTGGAAATATATGGAAACATCTACTTTAGTATTTATACTGAAAAGCTTGTCTATTAATGTGCAGAAATACGTTAAAAATGGATACAGTCAATACTTCATAGAACTGATTGACCTTGATATGGTCCAGATTGGTAAATATAACAGAGGAATAGGTTAATTCAGTGTTGTATGATGCTTCTAAACTGATTATTCTCATTATTAATATAAACAACTCTTTGAATCAAACCGTTTAGAAAGCACGGTCTTAAAACTTCCTCAGTCTAAAATAACTGGTTTTAATTGGTATTTTAATTTTACATCTGAATCACTCTATAATGGAGCTAGGCAATCTGAAGACCCCTCATGAATGAGGGATGTTGTAACATTTGTTTAGACTACTTGTATAGTATTTGAATAGTCTAATGAATGTGGAACGCAGACTACAGTCAGATTTGTGTATTCAACAATAGTCAGAAGCTTATCCAATTTGTAAAAATGTAAAGTGTAAACTATTTTGATGTTGCTTCTGCAATGTTCCTGATGGTTTAGCATATCTGTTATAATGCTTTTAGAGCATGATACATAATAGTATAAAAAAATTCACTTTTAAGAAATTATTGTAATTGGATTAATCCAAAAGTACCTTGGGCCAATATATGTATACTCTTTCTGCTTAAATGAACCTGGTTACCCAACTGCTACCTGAGACTAGCATAAATCATAATACAAAATTATGACACATTTAAGTTGGTGAATTGTTTAGCCAAAAGTCATGAATTCTTAACAGGATTCGAGTAGCGATACTGTGGCAGAGAAGTGTAAGTTCCTGTCATATCAAATATATTATATTTTATGCACATAGTGCTGCTCCTCTGTTCCAGTTTTTCAGCTCTCGTGGTGCTTTGTGTCATTCAGCCAATTCGTCTTCAACTTTTCAGGGTTGAGCCCCACCTTTAGACCAAAGATGCATTTATTTTTTTACCATATTTGTATGGTTTTAGCGCTACTTCTGTGACCTGCCTTAAGTGAGGCTGCAAATCAATCGTGGGTCCTAACCTACCAGTTGAAGACCAGTAGTTTAGTCCTCAGTATCAGAACCCACAGAGTGCATAATTTTAAATTTGCAAAATGTGAAAGTTTTGCCAAATTCCCCTAGATGGCAGCAATGTTTAACACGACTTGTTCAGTGGAAAGCAGGACTCCTCTCAAGCATGCTGTTAGACTTGCTCTCTTTTAAGTTTCCTTAGAGTATTTTTTAAAAATTGCCTTCTAGCCTAGGTAAAGGTAAAGGGACCCCTGACCATTAGGTCCAGTCGTGGCCGACTCTGGGGTTGCGGCACTCATCTTGCTTTATTGGCCGAGGGACCCGGCGTACAGCTTCCGGGTCATGTGGCCAGCATGTCTAAGCCGCTTCTGGCGAACCAGAGCAGTGCACAGAAATGCTGTTTACCTTCCCACCTTACCTATTTATCTACTTGCACTTTGACGTGCTTTTGAACTGCTAGGTTGGCAGGAGCAGGGACCAAGCAACAGGAGCTCACTCCGTCACGGGGATTCAAACCGCCGACCTTCTGATCGGCAAGTCCTAGGCTCTGTGGTTTAACCCACAGCGCCACCCGTGTCCCCCTTCTAGCCTAGTCTTGTCTTTAAACGATTTAAGTCATATCATGTTTGCAAATACTGCTTTCTTGCTGTTGTCGTATTTCCAAAATGTCAGGGTGACACAAAGGACTTCTTTATACATTATACATTATTTTACAAAAAGTACATCTGTGTAGGGGAAAGTATGTAAATTGCCAAGAGGAGGGATTTTTGTGTTATCGGAAGAGGCTTAAACATTGTGCTTTTACAGCAACTCCACAATTCTTGACTTAAAAGGCCTAGTTATAGAGAAACATTTTTGCCTGACGCCCGAAGATATGTAATGAATGTGCCAAGCAAGCCTCCCTGGGAAGAGCATTCCACAAGCAGGGAGCCACCACAAAAAAGGCCTTTTCTCATTTTACTGCCCTCTGGAGCTCTCACAGAGAAGGTGCACATAGCAGGACCTCGGATGATTATTGTGGCATCTGGGTTAATTCATATGGGGAGAAGGTAGCCCTTGAGGTATTGTGGTCCTGAGCCGTTTTAAGGCTTTATAGGTAAAAACCAGCACATTGAACTGGGCCTGGAAACTAATTGGCAGCCAGTGCAGTGCTCCAACCGTCTTGCCCTGGTGAGCGATCTGGCTGTCAAGTTCTGCACTAGCTCAAGTTTCTAATGTGTTGCAGTAATGCTGCTGCTTAGCTGACAGAACAACCTAAAATGTTGACCCTAAGAATCTGTTAGTGGCATTTTTTGAAATTTGTTTTCTGGGCCACCTGCTATATCAGTCCCAGAATTCAACTTCTGACGCACATTAGGAGGCTTCCTTGTGTTTGTTGTACCTTCTGCATCTGTATTTAAAGTGTGCTTTGCATCTGTTTAAAGACTTGCCAGAAGCATTCTGCTCAAGGGAGTTTACAAAAAAAAGAGTAATCAGACTACATAAAACATCCAGTGTCATCATTTAGTGTTATACTAAAAGAACCAAGCACATTTAAAATATACAATGAGAACTCTATCCGAGTCAGTGGAATTTATAAAATGAATCCAAATATTTGTCTAAAGAAGGGATGTTTTGTAATGATGGCTGGACATGGGATTACATTTTCATGATACATACCAACTCTTGCTACACTGAGGTCAAAGTCAAGCAACATTCATCATGTGACATTTTTACCATTTCGGTTTCATGTCACATGACGAATGTGATGATTCACGTGGTGGAAAACTGGTGATTTTACTACATTAAAAAGTAAAATTAGAATGTGGGGTTGAGCAAAGTAGCATGGTTGCTGTTGGTCTGTTAGTCTTGCTTGAATTCTGTTTTGTAAGGAGGGGAGAGGGCTGTTGAATTCAGGTCCTGCTTGTGAGCTTTCTGTAGGCATTTGCTTGTCAACTGAGAACAGGATGCTGAATTAGATGGGCCACCGGACTGTTCCAGCAAAAGCATATGTTCTTAAGGATTTTTTAAAGGGTTTTTTTTTTTGTCTCTTCTGCCCAAACTTCTTGAGGACTTGTGTTTCAAGTGCAGCTTACAGGGCTACCATAAGCTATGGCTGCTTCGGCCTCTTAAAAAGAGCATCAGCAGGGAACTGAACATTATTAGACTCTGGATAAATAGCGTATTTCAAATTCCTTTTACTTTTCCCCATTTGTGTTTAGTATACATATCGGTCTCCCATTTTCTATTTTATCTCTTAATCAGAGGGGTTAAAAGCAAGAGGGTTGCCTTGGTCAGCTCTAAGGCAAAGGAGAGGAATAAAATGTTCCCCATAAATGCAAATATTTTATCCCACAAAAAGAGATATGACCAAACATTGATGGTATAAACTATATGAAACCCTCCACACCTCCCTCTACCCCCACTAGTGAATTTTCTTAGCCCTTTTTACTATGCAGACGAAGAGCTCAACTGCGAAGGTTTAGCCAGGTGAGTTTTTGCAATAGTATATTGGATGAAAATGAATTTTTGCATAATTCTTAATTCCTCTACATGCAGTGTGTATATCTTGTGTGAAGAAACGTAAAAATCACATTAGGTTGAGATACTGTTCTTTATTTGTTTGCATTCTTCTACGTACATTACATCTTCAGCACAAGCTGGTAAGGTATATTAACTTTTTCAAGCACTTGACAATAATTTTTGAGTGTGGATCCAGAGCTGCCCTTCTATAAACAGAACACGTCCCATTTGCGGAAGGGACTGAGATCTGTCAGACATACCTACTGCAGGAGGGTGGATGGGGGAGGTGGTCTTACTGATTTTCTTCTGCAAGCCCCCCTTGTGTCTACCCCCTAGTTCTGAAGGGTCCCCTAACCTTCACTAGCAGATTTTGGGGAGGTACAGGTGGCTGTGAGGGGACCCTCTTCTACAATGGCTCAAAGCATCCTCTGGCTACATCAAGTTCCGTGCAGTTTTTTGTATGTGATGGATACATTGATGTAAGGCTGCTGATACTTTGTTCTGCTATGTTTGCAAATTGAAGAGATACTTTAAATGTATATATAACTAGATTTTGTTTCTATGTGAGGATAAATCATCTGAGCTTCACAAATTTACACTCGCTTGCACCTTGCCCTACAATCTATCTAATATGGCAGCAATTTAATCAGTTCAGCTTCCACATAAATTACTCAAAAGCACGTAAAAATGCAATAGAAATAAAACATTACAGCATGCAAGACTGCTCTGCAGCTAAAATGTTAGCATCTTCTGACTCTTTCAGACTGGTTTTAAATGCTTATGAACAAACTTGAAGCCCACCAGTGTGGCCTTATTTTGTCATCAGTTTCAAGGTAGTTTAAAGCTGACACAAATAATTTCCAAACTAGAAACATCTGCTAAGGGTGGACGCACTAGCTAAATTGTTCCTCTGTTGTTACACAAGACCTTTAGCACCACTGGTGTTTCACGTTTGTAATAGGCAGTAGCAGCCCTTTACAGGTCTACTACCAGAATGGAACAAACTTGATTGAGAAGCATATACATCAACCAAGTGTTAACTACCAGCGCATCATTCCTTAAGGATGTAGGGATGCACATTACCTCCCCCTTTACCTGCATTCTGTACATATGTATATCATGTGCTTGCTTGGATGCACATCAAAAGCATTTGTATCAAACATAAGGTTTAAAATACAGTACTCTGGCTTTCCTTTGCTGCTAAATCTCGGTTAAGTCAAGGGGCAAGTCCTTTCCCTCCACATCTCGCTACCTCATTGCTGATTTGGCATTAAGTAGTGCTACCGTTCGGACATTGGTCACCAAGAGAAAAGCAGTGCAGTTGACTTATTTAGAAGATATGGTAGTGAACACTAGCTTTGATAGTATAGAGAATAGGCTTGTTATGAATCTTACATTTGAAAAATGAAACCTTGGTAACAGGAACAGTCTGGCTACCAAATAGGCAGAAGCTGGTTATTACCATTCTGTCTTGCTGGCAAGCTTGCAAGGGCATGTGGCTGTTCCGTGGTAGAGGCAGAATGCCAACCTAGATGGCTGTCTTGACTGAACCAAGCCAGGCATTACCTGTATTGATTAGTATCTTTTCTACAAAGTTGCAAGGAAGCTCTTAGTTTCTTTTCTACAAAGTTGCAGGGAAGCTCTTTCGACTTTACGTGCAAAGCAGATTTCAAATAACCACCAGTAACACTCTGTGCCGAGCCCGATAGGAAGGAATGGATGCTGAAGAGGGACAGTGTTTGGTAGAGTATATCAGGGTGCTTTCCAAAATGGGGTTTAAAATCAGGTCCAAACAGCGGTTTAAAAAAATAAATACGTATACAAATATTAAAGAGGCCTGTTTTGGCAGATACCCTGTTCACTGACTTCTGTTGCAACCACTTCGCTGCTTAGTGTTGGTGTGACTTGCTTTGCTTCTTCCACTATCCCAATTAAAAATCTCATGTGTAATGATAGCATTTATTTATGCGATACCTTCTTTCCTCATTCTTTCTCTTTCACATAGGTGTTATTTATCCCAGACACAATATCGCTTTCCGTTTTTGTCTCATTACCTATAAATTCTTTTTAAATTATCCTAGATATTTTTCAAATATTCAGTATTTTTTGAACGTCTGCCTCTTGTGGACACTACTCTTCAATTGGCTTTCTTATCTTTCTTTTTTAAACCGTCACATGTTTAGTAACCCTAACAATAGGTGTAAATCTACCTGCTTTTCTTTGTAAGAATACATCATCATCCTTTGGTTCCACTGGCAATCCTTAACTAAAAAGAAACAAGCAAGGCTTTTTAATGCCTAGAGAAGGGCCCAGGAGCACCTGCTAGCTGCCACATAGTGAGACCTTGGTTATTGTGGGGTTTTTTGTTGTTGCAAATATTCATGAGCATATTTCAGCGTACATCACACATGTGCATCAACAGCAGTAGGAGGCTCCACTGCAGAGCAGCTATTCCACACAGGCCACAGGATAAGGCCCAGATGAGTGTACAGACCTAGGCATCATTATCTCACTTCCTTTTCACATACATCCATTCGGTATGTATATTCAACCATTGCAACTCTGGTCATAAACAACAAAGTGTTCTTCGCAGTGTTTTAAGGGCAATTCCCATAGATACACACTCTTGACGAAATACTGCAAGTTACAAGCAGTCTGTGCAACAATAAGGAATATTTGTTTTCAGCACCGTACATAACCAGTCTTCACTGTTTACAACACGGTTAGAGGCGTGAGTGTAAGAATACACATTAACATAAGGCTTTTTGATTTTTTTACCTTCTATATGCATAAACACACTGGCATGAAAAGCATTTGTCATTATGCTTTGCTATCAAACTACATTACAGTGGGAACCTGTCAGATATGCAACAGAGCTTTTACCATGGACATTGCATGCACAAAGAAACAAAGTGTAATGGTCAGAACCTGGGGCATACTTTATTTAAAGTTTACGTTAACTGCAAGACAAGACAGTATTGAAAGTCCCTTCTCTGCTCAGGAGATGAATAAACTAATCTGTAAGCTTTAGATGCTACCCACTGCACTGGTTTTAAATAAAAATGCTTACTTTCAATACAGAGAACTGCAAAAGCAAGCAATCTTACAACACATTCCTTTAATAAAATAAAAAAATGTTTACAAGGCAACAAGATTCAAATTACTATATCACAGTCCCCAGTAACATCAAGCTGCATAAGGGAAGTGATGAGGAAACTTATCTTCCAGTTAACCGTTTTAAGTGCTCTTCTTCTCTTCGCCCAGTAAATTTATTGTTGCTTTTTTAGCTGAAAGAAGAAGAAGAAAGTGGCATTTATATACCGCACAACAATATTTCTCTGGCCAGCTACAATAAAAGTAAAACAATTTAGCACAAAGAGAGCCATAACAATGCATCATAAAAATAGCAGAGAGAAAATCTATGTAGAGATAAAATCTCACAGCAGCACCAAAATTTTGCTAATCTTGAAAGCTTAGTAAGACTCCCAAATAATCCGTAGATCACTAAAAAAACCCACAACCCTTAAAATCAGGAAGCCTGGGGAAACAAAGAGGTGTTTACCTGGTGCTGAAAAGATCACAATGCAGGTGTTGCTCAAGCCTCTCTGAGGAGGACATTCCAGAAGAGGTGCCACCCTCTTTGGTACATGCCCACCATATCTTGTTTGGCAAAGACAAAGGGCCTCGTAAGGAGCTTTAATTATAATGGCATTGCTGAATTACTATTGTTCAGCAGCTGGAATTATCGCAGCTATGAAAATGCCCACATCAATATTCGGAGTTATGGGTGTGCTATTTTTTAAATGGCCCAGTGCTAAAAACTCTGCAACCTGTCTAAATTAAGCAGATGAAATATATTTGCATAGAATTGTTTATCTTGCTGCTGTTATTCACGCTGAACAACAAGGTGGCTGAGGAAACCATACCTATCCTGCGGGACTTCTGCTGAACCCCAACATTCTCTCCCCTCCCATATTTGAGATTTCATAAGGTATTTTCTGTGCAACTCAAACGTTCATGGGCTCCCCCAGATGATGTCAGGACGAGAGTTTCCATCATTCCTGACCATTGGCCATGCTGGCTGTGGCTGATGAGAGTCCACAACATTTGGAGGGCTTCACTCCCCTGGGTTAGATACTTTGTTTGTCTTTGAAAAATGAGCTGGGATTTTCAGCATCAAGTACCTGATTCGGTGCTTATTTGATGCAATCCCAGGTGTCCATGAAACTTGCCTCTACTGCTCAGGTCAAAGCCAATGCTACTCACTATGGTCAAAAGAGGAAAACACAGACACATCCCATCAAGAGCTACTTGGGTTTTATTGTGTCTCTTCCTTAACGTAATATGGCAGTAAATCGTATGATTTAACTCAAATAAAATAGACCCACATGCCATAGTACATCTCACCGCATCACTCCCCACCCCCCACCCCCACCACCTTTGTTCAAAACCAGCTAAATATTCACAGTTATCCACAAAGTAGTCTAGCCAGGGCAGAAAAAATATTGGAATATACTGGCCCTATAGACCTCACCTTCTTTAGTAATGGTGTCTGCTGTCTCTGAAGCTTTGTCTTTCAGATCCTTTACTACATTATCCAGCTGAGCCTCATGCTTCAGGAAGAAGGGGCGGATAATTCGGTGGTAAAGCAGCTCTGCCCCATTTGAGGGACTTGGAGCCATGCACCATACCAGAAATCCACACTGCAAAAAAATAGGGGGGGGGGGGGGGGAAGGAAAGAATCAGGAAACCAACCAGATTTTATCACACTGCCTATCATTAGTGGCATAGAAAGATCTGTAATGCTCATGTCAGGACAAGCTGGTATAGCATATGATCTAAGACACAGAGCTATAAATCCAGAGTCTCCGTGTTTGAATTTCACTTCTGCCATGGCAATAGATGACCATAAGCATATCCCTCTAGTTCACCTCTGGTGCCTCTGCTTCACCCCCCTCCCCAAAATACAGGGCTGTTGTAAGGATTGCAGTAAGATAATGTATTTGAAGCACTTTGAAAACTCTAAAGTGCTGTATAAAGACTACATGTGTGGTTCACATTTGAAAACCCATGCAAATGACACTTAGTGCAACATGCACCTAAGAGTTATTTGAACAGGTCACAGTCCTATGCTGAAGCCAATAAGCGGAAAGCATGCCTGTTCAATCCTATATGAAACTTCCAAGACCAGTGACCATGTGCTTATGGATATTAGTTACTGGGAAGCACTAGCAGGAGAAGACTCCTTCCTTCACACCCTGCTTGTAAGATGCTTCCTAGATGCAGCTCTGTGGCCACTGTGGGGGACAGAATGCTGCTCTAGACAGCCTTTTGCTCTGATCCAGTAGGTCGCTTCTTAAAACCTGGGGAATACATTGGTATGTCTGCACGGCAGATGGTATAAAAGAAGCGCCTGCATCATGGACTTTAAAAGCCAAACGTAAGAACCGAAAAGAGTCTTCTTGGATCAGACCAACAGCCCATCTAGTCTATAACCTTTTGTTCTCATAGTAGTCAGCCAGATATCCCAATGAGAAGCCCACAATCGGAAGCTGAGTGCAACAGCATTTGTCCTGCTTGTGATCTCCAGCTTGTATTCAGAAGCACACAGCCGATGATGGAGCCAGAACACAACCATCATGGTTTGTTGCCTTTAAGAGCCTTATTCTCCTCTTTAAACCTATCCAAGCTGGTGGCTATCACTACCCTCTTGTGGCAGTAAATTCTGTAGGCTGACAACACACTGCAGGCTACAGTTGAGGGTACAAGGAAACATACCTTAATCATGTAGTAGAAAGGGAACCAGGAGAGAAAGATGTCAGAGAAAAATTCCGCTATGCTGAAGACGCCATACACAACCCAATAGGTCAGCCACTGTGTGTCGTCATCTTTGTTAGGGCTTTCAATAGCCTTGATGCTGAAAGAAAAACATTAAAAGGGTAAGTCAGCTCATTCCCTCTACAACACATACACACATGGTCACAGATCTACTCCAGTTGTTGCTGTTGATTAAATTTGTATACCACAATTCATCCGTAGATCTCGGGGCAGTTCACAAACTGAGTGCTCGCAGGCAAAGCAGCTGCCCTAGGTTTCCTTTTTTAGCATTATCTTTACAGTTACAGCTACAATCTTCTATAACATCCGTACTAGGGATACGAATGGGCTGCAAAACTAAACGCACTCTACATCAATTTCCCACCAAAATCTGGTTTGCTAGTAACAATCCTAAAAACAATCCTAAATGGTGGCGGTAAAATAATGTAGCAGCGAACTATCACTTTTTAAACCCTGTTGGCAGAACATGGAGGAAGCATCTTTTTCTTTTTCTCTATGGCAGCCTGGGGCAGTGGGGATACGTTATGCCGGCTCCAAGGCTGGCATAGTCTTGCAGGTGGTTTGGGGAGGTGGCATCCTGTTTGAGGCACACGATAGTGATATGGTCGTGGTGGTATAAGCTACTGTGTGCACCAGTTTAGCTATACACATGATCAGGTAGCAAAGTTGTACACTTAAGAACATTCAGAAGTTCCAGTGATACCATGAAGATAAAACACACTTTGAGCAAGGGTAGATTCCACATGTTTCACAAACTTCAGGGGGTCCACAGCCCAGGAGGCTCCCTGAAAAGCTCAGATGCAGGAAGCCCATTGAGAATGTACTCCCTCCCCATTATATTGAAAGGCTACCAAACACCTTGGTGGATTATGAAACATCAAGAGCTATTAAGAACCACTCACATTATACGCTGTCAAAACCAAAACTGCTGCTGCTGCTGCCTCTTAAATGTGAATAATTATTTTAATGATCACTTATACTAAGTTATTCTGTTGGAAAACACTGTTCTTTTTCAAGACCAGACAAAGCCTGTAATTATGCCATTTGCATATCCATTAGATATGAAAACCCAGTGCAAAGTGAAATCAAGCTGTTTCGAAATTCAAAATTCCTACCAGGATACAGGAAAAAGACTTGCACCTAACTGGAGTGAGCCAATAGGATTTTGGGGATGTGGTGGTGCTGAGATTTATCTAAATCAATGTGACACTCCAGAAAATGGTTTAAAGACTAAACGTGTAGCTGCACCATATAGTTTTTCTTAGGCTGCTTCCTGTTGCCTGTTGTATTAAGATAAATGTAGGCGTGGGAGTTTGGTGAGGCAGCTGTCAGTTGCCTCTGGCCATCTTGTCAGAACAGCTTTTCTGCTTCAAACAACACAAGAGCTTTCTGCCACAAGAGCTTTCTACAGGTGTTTGCTTGTTACTGCTTTCCAATCATAAACTTTTCCCAGTTCTTGCCATCTCCCCCATCCCCCCGCCCGAAAGGTATATTTGAACACAGCGAATACTTGTAAACACCTGCCCTTGATGGACCAGAAGGGTAGGTAAGATTTGAAGAGACTCTGAAACCGACTTGTAATATATATGTTTGACCTACAGAAACATGTAGCACTTCAAAAACAACAGAAGTTGGAAACTAGAAGAACAGGTTTTGTTCTGGGGGGAGGAGGGGGAGAAGAGAGAATGAATAACACATCTGGACACTAAATTTCTACTCTGCAACTGGGAAGAAATGTTTAAGTTCCAGTGCTTCTGGGATAACAGACACACCCCGTCATAATCTTTCCTGCTGTAAGATGATAAAGGGCAGTGCAATGACCTTTCCCCCCACCCTCTGGGCAAGTACCATCACACTCTTTTATTCTGTCCCCAAGATATGACTAATGTAGATAAGGAATAATATTTTAGTGATGTCTTGAAAGAGTGATCAGAGGGAGGATTTTCCCACCAGCTCAGTAAAAATGGGATGGGTCAAAAATGCTTTGAAGTGAAGCCACTTGACTGCTGACCTGGGGCAAGAAGTGGTTGCCACGGAATCAGTTTTAATATGTTTGCCAAAGAAACATTTTCTTCCATTTTAAGTGCCTAAATCTCCCAGGTAGAGATCTGCTGAATCAGGACTTTGCTGAAGCTGTCAATTTATACCTCCAGCTCTATGGAGAGATAATCCTATCCCGAACCAATTTCACTGGTTTTTCACTGGGGCTGAATGTACCAAGCACAATATGCAAAACCTAATTTGGTTGAGCAAATGAGAATATAAATTGGAGGTTGCTGAATTGTGTTCAGGAGGCCTTGGGGTGGGGAGATTTTGAAATTCAAATTAAAAGACTCTCACTGACCTAGATTTATTGGCAGGTTTCTTGAAAAGATGAGTTGAAATTGTCACACTGTTCTAACAACTTGACACTCGAGAACAACTATCCAGTGTGCCCAAAGCAAATATATTGTATATATTATGATCTCTAAGAAGGCAGAGTAGACTGAAAGCTGGGCTGTGCCCAAACATTATGATGCAATGCCTTATAATTGCAGGCTTGTTTTTAATGTCAAGTAGTTACTTAAACTATAGCATCCATTCCGAACCTAATTCCTTCCAGATGTTTTGGACTTCACTTCTGACCATCCCCAACCTCTGGCCATACTGGCTGGGGCTGATAGGAGCAGCAGTCCAGAATATCTAGAGAGCACCTGCCTGGGGAAGGCTGGATTGTAGCAACGTATATGAGGAAGCAGAGCATGATGCAGGCTTTCATCTGGAAAAAATCACAGCCATGTGTTTTATTATAAGATTGGTGATCCACCATGGAGGCCATTTTTTCTCACTTTAGGTAAGGCAAGTTTGAAGACTGTTGTCAAATTTTCCAGTACCATACGTAGACTTCAGCACACTGAACAGGCACAAACAAACAGAGCTCCCCTTTCGATCCTTACCCAGTTTGCACATTGGGGTAAACCGTAGTTAATGGTTACTGTGAACACATTGATCTGGGCTGATCTGCCCCGTCCTGCTACCACACAGAGAAAAACATGCCACTGTCTCTGGCTTAGCAATTATGTCCAAACCAGGAATTATTATTGTGGGTGAGACATTGTATTATTGTGGGTAAGGAGATCCCTGCTGGATGAGGAGATCCCTGGTGAGAATCTCTGTCTGGGATCATGGTTCGTTTCTCTCAAACAAATTACAAGTAAGCCAAGAACAAACATTGGTTACAGAACATGAGGCCAGCCACCTGTCAAATTTATTTCCAGAAGATAATCATCTACAGCACAGGGACGTCAAAGCACCATTCAGTGTTTGCAAATAACCCTGCATAGTGCTTTGAAGCACCGGTGAGGCCTAGATTTACCGCCCATCAGCTGACAGGCAGTAACTCCAAGCCTGCTTCAGGGATTGTCTTTGCAACAGTGTCCTTGTGCAACTGATCCAGTGGGCTTCCAGTTACCGCCTATCAGCTGACAGGCAGTAGCTGATTGATTGTTGGGTGCCTGGGAAGCCCTATGTTCAGCTGAGCACCAACCACAGAGCTGCTTTCTGCAAGGATCAGCTATACGATCAAGTTTCCCATGGGGAACTCAGTCAAGTTGCCAATTCAGTGGGTTTGGAAAGAAACGAATGCCATGTCGAACAAAGAAGGAATTTTTTCTTTCTTTCCAAAGGAGGCACTGAATGCAGGACTCAGAAAGCCCTTTGCACAGTGCTTCCAAGGTGGCCGGCAGACAGCTGGCCGGCAGTGCCTGCAGGGCCCCTGTCAACCAAGCCATCCCAGCCTTTGCCTCCCTACACCTGGTGACATTAATTGTAGGACAGGTGGCTGCAGCTTGCTTAAAAATATCCTGGTGGGTAAAATGAGGAGAGCTGGTGGACTGGATTAGGCCCATGGACTGGAGATTCCCCAGCCACCCGGTTTACCATGATGTGCAGATGAAGACAATGCCTGAGGTGTGGAATTAGGCAAAAACATTCTTGCTTTTACTGGACAGGGAAATTAATAACCAGGTTCAAAGAAGCTTTGATGCAGCCTAACACGAAAAGCCACATAAGCATGGGACACTATCAGCCCATGGACTTTTATGGGTAGCTGCTGTTTTGCTAGAGACACAGTGAACTTAGTGGAACGGTTTCTGGCTGACTTGAGAATACTGCAAATCAACAGCAGAGCACTGAAAAGCACGGAATAAATTTCTGTTGCAAGAAAGAGACAGAGGGTAGCTGGCTTTCCCTACAAGTCCTTCCTACAAGGCATTTACTCCCCACCACCCAGCACGGTGGACAAGGAGGCAAAGTCACAAGAGTGACTCAAATAGTGTGGTAAAGGTGACCCAGGGATAATCACACACACTCAGCCTAATCTACCTGATAAACAATGGTCCACACATTTTGGCTAGCCTCATAGATGAGCTACAATTTAGTAGAAAAGCCACAAGTGGCCCCTTGTTCCTAACCTTATGCAACACCTCTGAATGAGTCCTGCTCCCTTCCCCCAGCTTCTAGCAAGGATCTGGAAAAGGACAGTCCTTGCAGTTACACTGAGCTTCAGTTGATTCCCACACATTTTCCTGGCTCCCGCGTTTGCAGCAGGGGCTTACGTTTGCAGTGGGCAGACGAGGCATTGAGTGGGTCCACTGCCTGGGTGGGCAAGGAACTCGGAGTAGACAAGGCTTTTCTCTCTGGAGCTAAAAGGAAAGGCTGGTGTTTGTTTTGGTGCTGGGTGGCCAAGGTGCCCCAAGCACCTCTGTCATCCAACCCCAAGGAGCAAGCTGAAGCAAGGGGTGGGATTGTCATATGTCATCATACATGTGGAGGAAAACCTTAAACATGTTAGAGAGTTCCCAAAAATAGACCAGAGGCAATAGAACTTCATTCAGCAGAGCTTTACTTGTGCTGAAGGCAAATGTAGCGTAATGGTTATCAAATCCAATACAATCAGGATTGGCTCAGTCCATACAAAATCCAGTTGCAGCATTTATAAACTTAACTCAGAATAAGACTAAACCTTAACACTAAGAAACACCACACCAGAAGGAACGGAGAAGGAGAGAGAGAGAGAGAGGGAGGGAGAGGGAGAGAGAGAGAGAGAGAGAGAGAAAGAAAGAAAGAAAGAAAGGAGAAAAGTAAAGACCCAGGGTCCTTTTGGCCTATATTTATAGTCAGCACGACTCTGCAGAATAGAGATATGAGAACCAGTTCAAAGCAGCTTCCCAGAAGATATAACCCAAACAATCATCTAGTAGCTTCTTGTATTAATCAGACTAGAAAAGAATAGGAAAGATCTTTACAGATGAGATCAATACTTTCTGAACTAAGAAATGCAAACTGACAGGGATCCTCCCTCCAGTTGTGATGCAGCCTCTAAAACTCCACTTCCAAGCAGGAGATAAAGGCCAGGACTCCTCTCCTCACCATTGAAAAGGGCACTGTCACAGCATGTAATGCTTTGAAAGAAAATGTAATGAAAATGATTTATAGATGGTATATGACCCCAGTCAAACTCGCAAAAATTTACCACCTGTCTGATAACAAGTGCTGGAAATGTAAAGAGTGTGAAGGAACGTTCTTTCACCTCTGGTGGACCTGCCCTAAAGTGAAGGCGTTCTGGGAAATGATTTATAATGAATTGAAAAAGGTATTTAAATATACTTTCACTAAGAAACCAGAGGCTTTCCTTTTGGGTATTGTCAGCCAAGGGGTGGCAAAGAAGGACCAGACATTTTTATGTATGCAACAACAGCAGCAAGGATACTACTCGCAAAACATTGGAAAACTCAAGATCTACCCACACTGGAAGAATGGCAGATGCAACTGATAGACTATATGCAACTGGCTGAAATGACTGGCAGAATCCGTGACCTGGGAGAAGAGAGAATCGAGGAGGATTGGAAGAAATTTAAGAACTATCTACAAAAACATTGTGATTTGACTGAATGCTGAATAAGATGCTAGACTAAATAACTGAGCACCACTTAACTTAGTAGTTTTTAAGAAAGTAAGAAAAACTGTGAAAGTTTAACTCTTTATGAGAACTTTAAGATTATGAAATACCAAAGAGATATAAGAACTTAAATAAGATGATAAATTGCTGACAAAATGTTATAATGATGAAGGTGGGAGCGGGAGGTGTGAGGAAGTCCAAAGAAAATGTGAAATTATGTTAAGACGAATGTTATATTGTTTATTACACTTATTCTTATTGTAAAATCCAATAAATTGCTTTAAAAAAAAAAAATAAAACTCCACTTCCAAGCAGGAGATAAAGGCCAGGACTCCTCTCCTCACCATTGAAAAGGGCACTGTCACAGCAAGCATTCTGGGTGGTGCTGTGGACCTTTTCTTATTAAGCTGGTTATGAAGAGCTCCTTGGGAAAGGTTACCAGACATCCCCGTTTCCCGGGGACAGTCCCCGGATTTACAAATCAGTCCCCTGACAAAGTCCATCTATTTAGTAGGAAGTTGAAAAGTGTCCCCAGATTCATTGAAAAAAATCTGGTAACCTTATCCTTGGGAGAAAAAGCAGGGTAACAGACGTGATAGACTCCTTCTGTCCTCTCCCAACCTACAGGAATAATTGTGGATCTACATGTGCTGTTTCTAAACGGAGTTTGCCACAGAAATGCTCCAGAATTTACACGACTACATTCATTCACAGCCCTTTTGCAAAGCCAAGTAGGAATCCCTTTTTCCTCTAGTGTTCTGACCCACTTTTCTTTCTTTCTTTTTACTGTTACTTATATTTAATCTACGCATATTTTCCCTCTGGTGTTCTATGTAGGTCATAAACATTCAAATACCTTTGAGATGCTAAATGAACTTTCAACTACTTTCAGTTTTGCCCAGTTATTTAGGCAGAGCCCAGAAATACTAAGAAAAGAAAAAGAAGGCTGATGCAATTAATGGAAAGTGATTTACCAGAGTGTCTGGAAATCCACAAAGTTCAGTCTTATGACAATACATGTGTTATAGAAATACAAAATTAAACCAGTGGGACAGGGTTTCCCAACTTAATTCGCCTTTTGGCCTTGCCTTGTACAGAGACGCTGGTCACCAATATAATTCAATTATTCACAATGAGGTGAGAAGGAACCTGAAAAGTCCAACAATGAATAAAAATATGCAGCATGGGAGATGTCTGTGCTGTTGGCTAACAGCTTTAGCACCTGACCACAAGAGCAGAATGCAGTATAGTACCTAGGAAAATAAGATAGAAGGCAGAAGAGGAAGGTATGAACCTACCTCTATTAAGACTGTGCCCCCCCCCACATACCATACATGTAAAACACATGACTTCTCCCAAAGAATCCTTGGAACTATAGTTTACCTCTAAGAGACCTTTAAACTACAGTTCCCAGTATCTTTTGGGGGGGGGGGGGAGCCATGTGTTTTAAATATAATATGTGGATATGACCTGCATGATCTGTAATTCTCTGGCACTGGCATCTGCCTTAGGCACAGTGTTAGAAACTGAGATATGAAAGCTGGGAGCTAAATGGCACCTTCAACCTAGGTGCACCAACGGAATGTCCAGGTGTGTTTTTTTAATAACAAGAATACAAATCTGAAAATGAATAAATTGCAGCTAAAATATTATGTTCATTTTGCACATGGTCTAGTCCTTCCCCTGTTCTCCCCCCTAATATTCTTAAGAGGGTCTCTCCTCCAGTCTTCAGAGAGTAGCTGGAAGTGGGGAGGCAGAAAAAGGCCCTCTTTTCCTTCCACTCTGCAGTTTTAATCTGAAATCTTAGGCACAGTACTGCGGCCACAGCTCAGAAACTGCTCACGCTAATGAAATTCCCTGTCGCAAAATGCGCCTAGAACAATGGGAGTTTCGAACACTGCTTAGACAGTGTTCTGCTTAGATTGCTTAGAATACTGCCCATCGATCCATTTAGCTCACTGCAGTCTACAGCAGCAGCGGACAACATATGGCCACATATGGCCACCTGCCTAGTTTTAAGAGAGAGAATTTTAGTCCTGTCTGTTACATAAAGTGTCTGAAACCCCAGGGAGATGTGCTGGAAGGTAACCAGATTAGCAGAGTCTCACCATAAGAGAACACTTTCCACAGACTTCTGCTATGCAACTCCCAAGATGAAGCAAACCATGTTGCAAGACTCCGGCGAGCTATTTGCAGTTATCTTCACATTGTCAAAGTGACAACATAAAAACTGTTTGGTCCTGCAAAGCATGGACGAGTCAATCACAGAAATAACTAGGATCATCCTTTCCTGCTCTAAAATTCTCTTATTCTATGCTGTCTTCTTTGTTGTTGTTAAAAGCGGCTGGGCTAGAGGATCTGAACTGACCACAGTGCGGGTGGAAGGCTTTAACTTTCCCCATTATGTGATTTCTTAAACTTAAATCTATAGCAATAGTGCTATTATCCCGGTTGGTGGGGGGTTGTGAAGAGAGAACACATGGACCCATGTTGTCTTACCCAAGTTCAGTTGTCTGAGAAGTGATGCAAGGCTAATGAGGAAAGCTCTCTTTGATCTGTGCTGGCAAGTTCACACCTACAAGTTCTCACTTGATGTCGAGGGATGTGAGAAAGCACTTTAGCTTTTCCAGAACATACAGGTGCACTTAAGACAGGGCACTCACATGTGAAATTCTCACCAGCCTTTCCCAACGCAGTGCTCGTTTCACAAGAAGATTGCGAAACTGCAGTCTTTTCCATCACGTTTAAGGCGCGGCTCTCATCCTAATCCATACCAGTTGTTAACATTCAGCCTTTGGTCAAGTTCCCATTAGATGAGCCCAATGTTGCAGCAGCCAACAAAATGCCCTGTTCTTATGTGTATTAAGGCTACATCTTGTAAAGAAGGGGAAGACAGTCTAAAAAACCCTGAAATAATTGCTTAACTTTGGCTGGATCGAAACGTCTCTCTTGTTTTTAAAAAAGAGGAGGCCCACACATTTGCTCAAATACCCCCCCCCCCACAGTTTCAAAGTGACATCATCAACATTTCAGGGCACAGAGCCAAAATTTTCATTGCAACAGAAATTGTTAAGGTAACCTTTCCTTCCAGACAGAGTTCTATTATTTCCAAAACCTTTTGTGGCCTTAAGATGCCTAAATCGTGCAAACCCATCACCCACAACGTCACAGTCCATCTGCTGACTCCTCCGACTCCAGTGAGTTCTGATTCTACAGCACAGGGCAATGGCAAGATTGGGAGTTGAGGGTCAGCCTACTGAGTGAGGCAGAAGCTTCTCACTACTACCGTAAGCTCTAAGGATGCTGTAGCCCTATCCAGGGAGGGGCCTGGCAAGTTCTGAAATTGCCTTAAGAAAAAACCCAAAACAATTCCTTGAAGGTTTGGCAGCCACTTGCAACTGGCAAAAAAAAAAAAAATAGGGAGGGAGGAGGAAAGGAAATCGGTAGCACATGGCCCACCCTCTCCAAAGTTATCAGTTTCAACATGCAGTTCCATTACACAGAAAGAGGAAGAGGCTTCTCTCTCCGAACAACTTACGAGATGTATGCAGGATAAGCGAACCCAATCAAGTTGCAAAGGAGGGACGCTCCATAACCAAACACCAGATAGATGGCTAGCGCGGCACCAATGGCTGAGAAAGAAAGCAGAAAGTCAGTCGGGGCGGAGAGGAGCCCTCCCTAGGCACACAATAAAGCAAAGGCTGAGTTATATAAAGATGGAAGTTTCCTTAAGGGCTGCTGAGGCGGGAAGGAAACTGATGAATTCCTTCCACGGGGCTCAACCCACAACCACCACAGCCCCCAACGCAAGCCTGGAGAACTGGGGCACCACATCCTGCCCGCTGTTTACCGTGAAGTTTAACCCTCATGGGGGTGGCAGGAGAAGCTAACCTGTGATACTGAAAGGGTACATGGCAGATCCGAGACACAAAGCGATACTTAGTCCAGCCCAGACACGTCAGCTAGTCAATAACCATCTTGTGGGAGTTTCTTTCTCTTTCTTCCCCTCCTCCTCCTCCCCCGAATTTCTCAGAAGGCACCAGTAATTTCCCTCCAAAGGCATCGAAAGTAGGGCTGGGGTTCCCCCTCCTGCTTCTGTCGGGGCACAGTAATACATACAAAAATCTGGTGGTGGTGGGTTGTTTTTTTTTTACCAACACGGCATAAGAGCAAGAGAGATGAAGCAGGAGGCGGGGGAAGGAGCTGGGCTGTTGTAACCTGAGACCAGCCCGTTTTACGGCGGCTGCTGCTGGACATTCAATCCCAAGGGCTGAGACTCCCGCACCACCTCCTGCTCCCCCCCCTCCTTGGACACGGTGCCTAATATGCGCCTTCTCCTGCCATAAATGTCGCCCAAGAGGGAGAGGGAGAGAGGCAGGTGCCGAGGCCCAGAATCTCCTCTTCTTTTTTTAAATAAATTTTTATTGGAAATTTTATTTACAACGTAACACAACCCCCCCCCCAACACAGAAATCCACCCCCATCAGACACAACCATAACAAACAACAAGCATAGTATACAACAATACAAACAACCAAATAAAAGACTTCCTTTATCCTATTTCTGGCATCCTTATTTACTTCTTATAAGCTGTTTCCTTTATGAATAATTATTAAGATTTTTCTAATTATAACTTAAATAGCCACAAAGTCTCCTGCAGACGTTAATCGAAACAAGTCCAGGTGTGAATTTTAGGGCACTGTTTTGTGAAGTATTCTCTGCATTTCCCCCATTCTTTTTGAAATTCTTGTCTAGAATGATCTCTAATTGCAATTAGAGGCCCAGAATCTCTTCTCCCCACAACCCAGGACCCCTGGCATCCTGGGGGGGGGGGGCTCCGAAACGCAGCTTTCACTCTCATTATTGCGAAGCAAGCTAGGGTGGAGAATGCGTGGGGGGGGGACTAGATACTCCCTTATTATGCAAAGCGTCTGTTTCAGTGCTAAGAACATTTACGGGCTGCTTTGCATTTTGGCGTTTGAATCGGCGTTGAGATGCCAGATGCAAACGCTTCAAAACAAACGAGAGGATTAAAAATAAATAAATGCAGGGCCGTCGGGGCCGTAACAAAACAAAAGGGCTTCTTTCCTCTCTTCCCTTTCAGAAACAACCTCCAGTTTCATCGTTTTGGAGAACATCGCAAGATCACAATGGCCCTTGTCGACGTGATGTTTCCTTGTGGGTGGAGGAGGGGGGAGAACAGCGCGGGTCGCAGCGGAGGTTTTGGAACAGAGGGAGGAAAAAAAGAGAGACGGCATCACGGAGAAGAGACGCCGCTCCTTACCAATGGCGATGAAGGACCTGTTCACGCCAGTCCTGCTCTCGATTTTTTCCAGCACGGCTGTTAGGCAGTTCTTCTCGTGCAGGAACTTGTCGAACCTCTGCCTCATGGACGCGGTCATGGTGGCGGGACCCCTTCCCTCTACGCCGGAGAGGAGAGACAGAGGATCCGAGGGAGAAAGAAAGCGGCTCTAGTCTCCTCCAGGCGCAATGCAAATGCAAAGCGCTTCTCAGCAGCTGGCGACGGACCCGGGCCTGCTTTGCTCGCGGAAGGGAAGGCGGAGAGACGGCGGCGGCGGCAGCGGCATCATGGGGGGCAACGTCAGCACAAGCCCGGCCCCGAAGCCCGCCCTCCGCCGCCGCTTCGCCTCGAGTCTCTGCAAAGGAGCCGCACCCAGGCTCGGCCGAAGCGCCTCGGGGCTTTCGCGTGGCTGGGGAGGCGGGGAGCCCGGGCAGAACGACCCACGCAGAAAAGGCGCAGGAGAATAGCAAGATTGGGAGTCGAAGGCTTTTGCCTTCCACAAACCCACACACCCCACCCTGTCGTTTGAAAGCCCACGCATCGGCCTTTGCAAATGGAGGCCTTGTAAGAACGAGGGTGCAGGGGACTTGCTGATTTATAGCAGCTCGGTGTTTTCTGTCTTTTCTGCCGACAGTTCTTGGCAGTTACGTGCATGAGAGAGAGACAGCGCACAGCCACACCCACGTGTTCACTTTCAGCATAGACGTAAAGGATATGGCTCCCTCCAGATCTTGGGAACTGTAGTTCACAGTGCTACAGTTCCCAGAGCTCTTAACAAACCACAGCTCCTAAGATTGGGGCAGGGGAGCCAACTGGTTTAAATGTGTTTGTATGGTGTGCGTCAGGGGTGCCAACTTGAATACAGAATTGGGGGGGCAGGGATAGCTGTCACCCCATCAAGTAAATAAATAAAAATAGTTAACTAACTGACCGATCGCAATGCAGATAACTCAGTTCTGCCCTTGCCCCGACATAAAACCTCTCCCACCTAAAATAAATACCGGCTACGCCCATGGGAAGCAAGTAAGTCCCACCCTACAAAATCCATCACATGCATGGCACACTCTTATTTGAATGGGATTGTCCATCAAATCTGGGGACGGCCTTCTCAAATATTTTATTTGGGGGTGGGCGAAGGGCCTAGGAGTTGGCTCCTATGGTGTGCATGTCACCTTAGTCTCCCTGCCCCCCCTTTAATTCACTGTCCCCTCTCCTCTCTTGCTTTAATATCCATCCCAATTAAGAATCATGGTCAGCCTGAAAGCTTGACTGCTATTTTATAATGTTTTGGTTTGACCAAGTAAAAGGTATTGACTGATTCTGCTTTCTCCCCCTTCCAGACCAACACACAGTACCTTTACTTTTACAGTAATGTATTATGTAAGGTACTGTATTTTACATAATACATTGGCTCTCATTGAAGGGTGCTGGTCATTTCTAAGGGATAAACAAACTGTTTCTAGATCCACTCTTACCTAGCCAGAAGAAAAGCTACAGTAAATAGTTCGTCGTCGTCATCATAGACTTTTATTGTGCTAGCCGTAGGCCGTGGCATCATTCGGAAAAATAACAAGAGGAAAAACTGCAATAACCATAAAAACCATCAGGCACCACACATACATTATAAACCACGGTCACAGCTACTAAGATTGTTTGTTGCATAAAATAGAATAGCAGAAGATTCTCTAGTAAAATCTGCCAAATTAAATATCCGAATCCCCTTTGCAGTTGACTGCTATTTTATCTAGTTCTTTCCTCCTGATCTTCTTAGCTACCCATGCATAGAGTGCTAATTTATGTTACAAAGTCATCAGTATCGCTCAGTAAATAGTTACGTTTACCCCCTTTATCCAGTTTCTTTTATAGGAAGAAGGCCTTTTTAAGATCACCTGAAGTTGCAACTAGTTCCAGCTGTTCCACATCTAGCTGCTGAGTGGGCAGGGAAAGATGCTGAGCTTCCCTGCCTGCAGGCTCTCCTAGCTGCCATCTTCCGGTGAGCACCGTTGACTTGGACCCTGATTCTTCCCGTAAATAGGTAGGAAACACAGAATGCAACAGGGCAGTCTGTCACATGTGCATTGTGGATTTTGGAGTACAGTGGTACCTCGGGTTAAGTACTTAATTTATTCTGGAGGTCCGTTCTTAACCTGAAGCACCACTTTAGCTAATGGGGTCTCCTGCTGCCTGCTGTCTTACACATGGGGGCATGTTATAAATACGATAACTCCCTCTTGTTTCACAATAGGCCCATTTTATTTAAATGTCTGTTGGCACTCATCAGCTCATAATTAGAGAGAAGGATACCATACCATAGTACAGTGGTACCTCTAATTACGAACTTAATTTGTTCCAGAGGTCCGTTCTTAACCTGAAACTGTTCTTAACTAGAGACGTGCTTTCGCTAATGGGGCCTCTTGCTGCTGCTGTGCCGCCAGTACACGATTTCCGTTCTCATCCTGGGGCAAAGTTCTCAACTCGTGGTAACTCTTCCAGGTTAGCAGAGTTTGTAACCTGAAGCGTTTGTAACCTGAGGTGTTTGTAACTCGAGGTACCACTGTAGTAGTTCGACAACAGCACTTCCCTTAGAGACATCTCTGGAGCTAAAGTTACAAGGTTGGGACTGCAGAGATACAAAGTAGGCCTAGGTAAGAGATTATGCTGCATTCCTTTGCTCCCCAAACTTTATTTTCCACTGATTTCTTGTTATTTTACAACGTGGAATGTAGGTATTTTATTCCCATAGGTTATACAGTGGTACCTCGGGTTAAGTACTTAATTTGTTCCGGAGGTCCGTTCTTAACCTGAAACTGTTCTTAACCTGAAGCACCACTTTAGCTAATGGGGCCTCCTGCTCCCGCAGCGCCGCCACAGCATGATTTCTGTTCTCATCCTGAAGCAAAGTTCTTAACCAGAAGCACTATTTCTGGGTTAGCGGAGTCTGTAACCTGAAGCATATGTAACCTGAAGCGTATGTAACCCGAGGTACCACTGTGTTTGCTGAACTCAGTAGAAGGCTTACCTGTGTGCCATCCATTATTATTTATCCTCTGCAATTTTATGGATGCTTTTCTGAAGTATTTTAAGTACTGAAAGGAAAAGTGCTTCCTTGCAAGCATCCAGTAATACGCGACAAGTATACAGTGAGTCAGCTTTTGCAGTTGAAATGGTAGTGCTTATGTACAATCTGGAGTATTTGGCATAAAAGTGGCACTCCTGGATGGACTGATAGCAACTAAAGAGCCTGCTGATGCTGGCATCGTAAACCTTCAACAAGGGACATTACAGCATCGCTGCTGTGTTGGAAATACATGCTGTGAGACAGCTGGTATTTGAAAGTTGACTGCCAGTGCCGTGTATTCCTATTCAGTGTCAAAACAAAAACGATAGTTGAAATCCCTGTGGTACGCACATAGTACTGTATGCACAGAGCATCAAATATAAATGCATAATTTGGCAGAATGACTCACTGCATCATGTGGTGTTTTTTTGTCTTCTGTGATTTTGTGGGTTGGCCCATTTCTGTGTAGAGTTAGCATATTGGAACAAGAAGCAGAACATTATCAAGGTCTTACTTAGTATGCTGACAACTTTTTTTTACTGGTTCTGTAATGTGACATGCAAAACCTGGTGAAGAGCTCACTGTTTCCCTGTCTCCACTCACCAGCTTAATTTCTACATGTAAAGTTGCTCATTTTTATACTTTTGATATGCCTTTAAGAGTGTTTTGCTCTCCTGCCTCGAACAGCTGTTGATGTTTATCTCTACTCAGTGAAAAGCCTTTGCAAATGCACCTGAGGTTAAAAACACAGGAGCAGTCAAGGCCATTTTATTTCTGGTCTGCTGGCAACTTTCAACTTAACTATTTCTATTATTACTTTCTGTTATTCTCAGACTAAGGCTTATATTTCTCTACAGGCAGTGGCAAAGAGTGTTTTGGAATGTAGTGTGCTATTTTCCATAACTGTGTTCAGAAATATATATTAAAATAGGAGCAAGTGCAAAGTGGTATCTGATCAGGGATCAGCTTCCATGTATTTTCAAGTGGAGCTTGACACAGGTGTCCTTCACAATTGTGTGTGTGGTTTGTCACTGTATCCCTCTAAATGCAAAATCAAACAAGAAGCCACCCTTTGTAGGCAGGCAACCAATGAATGAAACTGTAAAGAAATAACAAGGTCAGTATTCAGGCTGGGCACAGAGAACTGACAGTCCAGATAACCAATTTGAAATTTAACAACTTGAGTGGCAAAGATGGGTTAATAAGCGCGCACCAAACAAGTTAGCTGAGATTAGGACCATCTAACAGGAACTATAGCTATTGCACCGTTAACAGTTTTTACTCATAAGACATCTTTGAAAGATACTATCTTGAAGGGAGAGGGGCATATACATGAATAAGATAAAATAAATAGTTGAATACCAGCAAATACAGGTTGTTAGTGAGTTATTTTCAGGGGAACGTGTGTGGTTTTGTTTTTAACAGGATGGGGAATACTGAAAACGGGTTTATTTACAATCTCATAGTTTGTAGTTTTCAGAGCCCCTGCCCCATCCTAGCCTTTTGTCTTTTTCTCAAAGGCCTGGCTATCCTTTGTTGTTGTTGTCGGCATTGTCTGAATGCTTAAAAAAACAAAAACCCAAACAAAAAAAGGCATGCCACCCTCTGGTGGCTGAAACTGATACAGAAATGCTTTTATGTGTGAAGTCAGCTGAGAATGCTGTGTAGAGAATGCAATGAACAAATATATATTGAACATAGCACTGAAATGATGCATTTCTTGTGGGTTAGGGTTATGGAAATGTGTCGCCCACAGCAGTTATTTAATTCATTATACCGCCTTTCATCTGAAGGTCACAAAAACCCATTCCCACATTTTAGTTTAGTATTTTGCAGATGAGCTCAGCATGGCTTACTTCTGAGTTGATTGCACTATTGAAGTCTCTCTTGTTTGAAAGGCTCCATAGTCTTAGATAAATCTAGACATTCAGTTAGCGAAAGGTGGAATAACAAGTTCCCTTTGATGACAAGAGGAGTATTAACTAGTTGCTTCGTAAAACCACAATCATGAGTGTTCATAAAATGCTGGCTGCTCATGCTGCCTGCAGGGTGGGGCTTTCTCTGTGGAGCCTCCCAGCAAAGAAAAACTGTACAGCCACATATGACTAGCAGGCACATTTTTTACTACCCTTTAACCCAGGCAGAAATGGTTCCGTTTCTTTGGAGCGACAATAATAGTTTCGTAACACTCAGAGTGGCCCTCTATCTACTGGCTGCAAAACAAAAACATGGGGAAAAAGTAGTTAGATAAAATTGCTGTATTTTTTGGTAGCAATTCGGAGGTTTAACCTGAAATTAAGCTGTTGCTGTCTTTAGTAACTTCTCTCTTTTGGACAACAGATGTTGGCAAAGTGGATTTTAAAATGGCAAAACAATACAGAGGTACCTTGGTTTACATACGCTTCAGGTTACATATGCTTCAGGTTACACACTCCGCTAACCCAGAAATAGTGCTTCAGGTTAAGAACTTTGCTTCAGGATGAGAACAGAAATCGTGCTCCAGCGGCGCGGCGGCAGCAGGAGGCCCCATTAGCTAAAGTGGTGCTTCAGGTTAAGAACAGACCCTCGGAATGAATTAAGTACTTAACCCGAGGTACCACTGTATTAGAATGGAAGATGTCACAGAGAAGCACAAGATGTGTTGTAATGCTCAGAAGCTTTGCAAAAAAATATTTTATTGATTTATGTTCCGTATTATATTATTGAAACTATTGCTTAACACAAGTTTGCCATGGCCTTTGGCTTGAACAATAAGCCTGTTAGCTTTTTTACTATCCTTTGAGTGATCTAGCTTTATATGCGGAGCTCTGGAAGTATCAGAAAATGCATTCGCATTATGGGGTTGGTTCAGCAAATGGGCTTCGATATTCTCACGCTATCTATCCTAGGCCTTAAGACGTGCGTGAAGTCGTAGAAATCGACGGAGCTGGAGGGGCCCAACCCCGCGCAGAATCGGGCTACAAATCTGACTCGTGTTCATATGGAGGGGCTGAGAATTTTACCCACGAAGCTCAGATCACAAGCTGATAAGGAGCTGCCTGCTTTTGAGAAATTCTCATTTATCTACCCATATCCCCTGAGCATGTGCAGAGCGCGCATAGTTCCTGAGCAACCCACATAAGCCGGAGTCGGGCAAGGGGGAAAGAGCTTCCAGGTTACGGAGTGTGACTGCCAGGCGGGTTTGAGCCTCGGCGGCTCTCATTTTGGAAATGACGCACGAATCGCACCTCGAAAGCTCCGCCCCCTATTTTTATTTTTTAAAAATCTGATTGATTTATTTATTTATTAACGCGGCGCCTTAACGTTTCTTTCGTTTCCCTGGGTGCTGAACCCTTCCTCTCCTTCCTCTTTCGTCGCCCCGCCCGTCGCTCACGGTCGTTCGCCGACTTGACTGGCTATCTCCGCTGTCCGTCTTGAGCAGCGGGCAAGCCGATTAGTCCATTCCTTTCCTTTCGCCGCGGCGGTTGGTTGAGAGAAGCAAGGGTCCTTGCCTTGCCTCCCGCCCACCCCGCCGCCTCGCGCCTCTCTTTACTAGAGACAGAGAGACGATTGGCCCGCCGGCACCCTCTCCTCCTTCCTATGGGACGGAAACGACGTAGTCCCGCCTCCAACCGCCTCGCCTCGTTTCGTTTCCCCTTTCGCTCGCTCCCCCCCCCCACTTTTAAGGTCCGTCTCGCGCGGCGCTGTGGGCCCCGCGGAGTCGGGATGAGCCGCGCTGCTTCCCCATGGAGACCAAGCGGGCCGAGATTCCCAGCGGCGTCCTGGACGACCTGTGCAGGTATTAACGCCTCCGCCCCCACAAGCGGGGAGGCGGCCGGCTGTGGGGAAGGGCCGGAGCGAGACCTCCCGGGGGTCAGTAGCGTCCGAAGCCCCTTCTTCCTCCTCTGGGAGCTGGCGAAGAGGCGGCCGCCCTTCAGGCGGGACCCGAGAGAGACACCGCGTCGCCTTCCCTCAGTTAAAAGTCCCGCCAGGCTTAGAATCCCGCGGCTCAGAATTGCCCAGAAATTGGTGGTGCCGGTTAATTAGCTATAAGCTAAAGTGGCGGGGAGGGAGAGGGAGTCGTTGGTTGTACAGGCGGCTTTAAAGTGCGCGCGCTCTTACGACGCGTGTCTCTGTGTGCGAGACTGTGTGTGTGTGTGTGTGTGTGTGTATATATATATATATACACACACACACACATATATATATACACACACACACACACACACACACACATATATATATATATATACACACACACACACACACACACACACACACACAGTATACACACACACACACACGCAATGCACAGATATATATACTGAACATAGTACTGAATATATACACAAGTACACACACACGCAAGTATATATTGAATGTAGCACTGAAATGATGCATATTTTTGTGGATTAGGGTTAAGGAAATGTGTCGCCCACAGCAGTTACTTGATTGATTGATTGATTTTCTATGCCGCCCTTCACCTGAAGATCACATACACACACAAAACCGTTCCCAAGTTTTAAAATGGAAAGTTCATGCCGCTATGAAGTTGCGAAATGAAGATTAGGTAGTCATTTTGCAGCACAAGTCAGTATAGCTACTGTTTTTGAAGTAACATCCACAATGTGTTTTGACAATAGGTGGTTTTGTAAATAGTTTTGTTAGACTTTTGGTGTTACTGTATTGTACACATAGCATGTGCAGCTTGATGGAACTATTATACTCCCACCCTGTGTACGTCTTTTACAGTGTACTGTACAGTCATACCTCTGGTTGCATTTGCTTCATGTTGCGGATTTTCGGGTTGCAAGTGCAGCAAACCCAGAGGTGCTCTATTGCACTTTGTGCACGCACAGTAGCAGCACTCTACTTACAGACTTTTCAGGGTGCGAATGGCACCCCGAAACAGATCACGTTCGTAAGTAGAGGTACCCCTGTAGTCCAGTGCATGTTTATCATATATATATGAAAAACGTTTCCCAAGTCTGTTTTGTGGCTTCCCGGGAGCATTATGGCATATCCTCCAACATTTGTGAAAATAGAGATGCCTCCTTCCATGGCATTTTTAACTGTGAAGGGACAGTTTTGAAGGATCCTTTTAGGGAGTGGTCATGTTGGACTTGGTAGAGGTGCACTTGTTGTTACCTCCAAGTCAAATTCCATCCCCATTTCCCCTTTTTAGGTCTGGTGTCAAAAGGAAACAAGCAGCTTTAAAACACCCAGATCTGGCATCTGGGCACTGCTTTCTACTGCTGCTGTTCAGACATAGTATGAGGGCAGTGCACATGTGCAGATCTCAACCACTACAGTTGTTGTTTTTTTGTGGGGGGAGGGAATCCCTCTAAAAAACGGAACACAATTTTTAGATACACTGTAGAAATCCAGTTTTGCCCCCATTTAGTGGATCTGTATGGCGGATACTTGGTTTACCAACAGGATAGCAGTCAGAGGGAGAACTCATCCACACAGTATTGAAATGTAATGAGATGGTGTGGAAGGTGAGAGAGAAGGGTAGATAGGCAAGAGAGAATATCAAAGGGACTGCTGCTCTGGAAATATTGCTTTTACCAAGTAGGGCTGCCAGCTTATTTATCAGTTTTGCTTCTGACAACACACTGAAATGTGGAGAAAAAGTAGACGATGCTTTTCACATCATTTTGCTTTCATACCACTTACTTAATGTTTGCATGTTAAGGCAATGTCAAAGGGAGAGAAGCCAGTAAAAGATGTTAGCTGTTCCTCCTCATCTTGGCATGTGCCTGTAAATGTATTCTGTGCTCCCAGCCTGGTATTTCCCAGCAAATTTATTGAATTCTTGCTATCCAGAAGAATGCTCAACCATCCAGGATCAGTTATTAAATTCCAGAATTAACATCTTTGCTAACCCCTGTCGTACAATAATGATTTCTCAATGATCTAATATTATTAAGTGAGATGAGAAGCCCCAGGCATGCAAAAATTAAATATCTGGCAATTATTGTCAAACTGAACCTGTTAGATGAGATAAAAAGGTAAAGGTAAAGGGACCCCTGACCATTGGGTCCAGTCGTGACCGACTCGGGGGTTGCGGCGCTCATCTCGCTTTATGGGCCGAGGGAGCCGGCATTTGTCCGCAGACAGCTTCCGGATCATGTGGCCAGCATGACTAAGCTGTTTCTGGCGAACCAGAGCAGTGCACAGAAACGCCGTTTACCTTCCCACTGGAGCGGTACCTATTTATCTACTTGCACTTTAACATGCTTTCGAACTGCTAGGTTGGCAGGAGCAGGGACTGAGCAATGGGAGCTCACCCCATCACGGGGATTCGAACTGCTGACCTTCTGATCAGGAAGACCTAGGCTCTGTGGTTTAACCCACAGCGCCACCCACGTCCCTTGAGATACAAGCGTGTTAAATGATGCTTAGACTTCATAAATTTGGGGTTCTTCTTCCTAAGGCGGGTACACCTGTTTCAGTCTAAAATACTTTCTGGTCTCCCATATTTGAGATAGGAAACTGAGCTTGAGAAAATATGGCATGTCAGAAGGAACTCTGTACAAACTCTATGCCCTACCTAGTCCTTACTTTACCCATCGAGTTGCATTGAACAGTGTTATGAGGGTTGCAGGGCAAGAACAATTACTCTGTGTAAGTAAGAAGTCCAGCCATGAAACAAATCAACAGATTCATGTCAGACTTTGATGTGGTGGCCAATTTGAATTATTTTATCCTGGCTTTTTAAACCGGGTCCATTGCTAGGCCAAGAGGAGAAGGAGAGGAAGGGGAAATCCCATTGTGCCCAGGGGCATGCATGATGTTGGATCTCACCCAAAGTATGCCTTTAGCTTCAGAATAGTGGTGTGCGTTTTTTGCTTATTCATATTTAATTGATTAAAACTCACAATTAATAAAATATTGAATCAAATTAATAACATGAAAGTCCATTTATAACCAATCCAGTCATTACAGAACTCACTATGAGTTTTTGACCTTAAATCAACTTGTTGCTGGATAATACTGCAACATGAAACTCACCTGTTTTTTGGTCAAAATGAAAACAGCTCCCAAAAAGTCCTTTCTCTTTGCTTGGTTTAAGTTGTAGGAAGAAATACAAATAACATTAACCAATAAATTTAAAATATTTATTTGCATCCCCAAAGTGTTTTCGGTACAACACTAAAACCTGATGTTAAAATCCCACCCCAGCAGCTTTTCTGAAAAAATATGCACTCAACTGAGGCCACAGCTTTTATTTGATAATAAAACTAGAATTATGTATCTCACAAAGAGCCTCTCTTCATCCACCTAGTATGTATGTAAGTTTCAAACGTTAAATGCTCTCTGCTTCAGCTACCTATTACACACAAAATAACCATAATGGCCAGAAGCAAGGCTATTACACAAGTAATGCAAGCCTGTTGAACATCTTCACTCAGATGCCTATACTAGCTTTTAAGAGGGTTTGCAAGGCACATCTTTTTCAGTTGGCCTTAGTTCATTAGCTTTTGTTGCTAGATTTATCTTAGTCTTGCATTGCATTTTTATCTGTTATTAGCAGTCATTGTAATACACGTTAAGTTATGAAAAGGCAGTATACAAGTGTATTAAGTAAAATAAAAAAATAAGTATTGTCAAATATTACAAACATCCTGACAATTCCTGCATTTTTATAACCCCCTCAAAGCTTTCAAGTGAAGTTCATGGCGGTGGTGCTGAATCATGGAGAGCTGAAAGCATTTGAAGGTCCTATGTAAACCATAGTATTTACTCATCTGTATGAAGCTTAAGGATTCTAATCTCATGGTGGCTGATGGGCGGTTGTCACTAAAATGTCCCAGATCTTGAATACATGTCTTGAAACCTATGTGTGGCTTCTTTTTAAGTATGTGTGGTCCTTTTCAAATAAACGTTTTTGACTTTGCACTTGCTGTTTTTGTAATTTAGGAGTTCTTCGTGCTTCAGATGTTTCAGTGGCTAGTTCATAAAATTATTTTCTCCCTCCCAATAGTCGATTTATTCTGCACATTCCCAGCGAGGAACGGGACAATGCCATCCGAGTGTGTTTTCAAATTGAGCTTGCCCATTGGTTTTACTTGGATTTCTACATGCAGAACACACCAGGATTACCTCAGTGTGGGATAAGAGATTTTGCTAAAGCTGATATCCTTTCTGTATTGCTGTGTCTTTTTGTAGTCTTGTGAACTATGCGTGGTGAAACTGTGTTCATGAGTGCCATCCAGGAAGCTGCCTCATACTGAGAACAGACTGCTATTCTTATTTGCCCGTTTAGCTCACTATTGTCTACACTGACTGGCAGCTGCTCTCCAGAGTTTCAGATAAAAGTATTTCTCAGCCCTACCTAGAGATGTCAGGTCCCTGGCAATTTACCTGTGTCATGAGACACTTGAGAGTAAGCTCTTTTGAAATCATTCTGATTAGGTTTTAAGGCAAGGGATCTCCAGAATTGGAATTTATGAAGTTCTTCACAGTAAGCACCGCTGCACGTATTTATGTGTGCTTTATGTTACTTTTTTTAAAAAATGTGCTTCTTACACAATTTCTATGTGTTTGGAGGTGGGAATGGCACAGAATTTCACTCATTGTTAATGCAGAGTGGGCTGTCCTTTCTACAGAAATGAATGGGGAAATTGGTTTGTGCAGGAGTGAGTGCCCTTTGTTGGAATGCATGCACAGCTCTGGCCTGGAGGCATTAGAAGTAGATTCTGTTGATTTTTGTGGTTCCTGTTGCTATGTAATGAATGCATGTAAAACTGGAAAATGCCAATCATCAGCTCATGCTTTTTCTGGGGTGGGGGTAGCATGCATTCTAAAATTACTTTAAGCTGTTGTTTCTCACCTGCCTGGCCACAGCCGATTATTAGGCTTCTTACTGCTGCATGCCATTCTCTTAGGCAGAGACTTTTAAAAAGAAGTGCTATGATTTATATACTACTTTTAGACTGCAAAATTCACAGAGTGGTTGAAGCTATAACGTTAAAACCCATTTATAGGACAGGCTAAGTGTGCTTCTGGGGCGTACGGTACTCTCAGCAGCACCCGATCTGAGGAACGCAGTTGCCTTGCAGGGAAATATGATAGAGCAGAACCCTCCCAACCCACAGAGACAATCCAGAGGGAATATTCCTCTGCCCATCTACTTGCATAGGTCATCAAGAAGGGAAACAAGGCAGCTTTCTGACCCGAAAGCTGACTGAGAATAATGTATAACCAAGAGAGTGGTGTTGGACTGTTTGGCCACTGTGATAACAGAACGGTAGACTAGATGGGCCTTTTGCCTGACAGGATTCAGTGATGATTTCTCGAACTGGGCCTCACGACTGCCCCTTCAGGGCATCAGGAACACATCCTACCCCAAAGGACACTGGCCAGCTTGTACTGCTAGCTCTTTGCTAGCTTTAAGGTGGTGGGGGTGGTGAAATACGTGTTTCAAATAGATGTTTCAAACTATGAAAGCATCCCTATGGAAACTTAAAGTGCCTCAAGATTCTTCACAGGCAACAAGGCAAGGTCCCGTCCCCCCATTATTCCCATGACAGTTCTTAAGAAAAACCAACCCACTGGTGTTAAAGCTCATGGTGTGAACGTTCCCTCATTAATGTCAGTGATTATGATTTGCTGGAGAAAAAAGAAAGGAAACATGATTTGAGGAGTGAAAACGTGTGTCCTGGTGGAGTGAATTTCCTTGACTACCTATACTTTTCAGTCATTGCCCTTTTTTACTGCCTCAAGGTGAAGATGTGCAGAGGGTTTTAGATGAATGGAAAGAGTACAAAATGGGAGTGCCAACCTATGGTGCCATTATTCTTGATGAGAGCCTTGAAAATGTAAGTCAAACTGATCTGAAGGATTTCTTTTTATATCTTGGAAAATGGAATTAATATTGATTTAGATTTTAACATTAAAATCAACTTACTGTATTTTTCGCCTCATAGAACGCAGCTAGGTTTTTTGGGGGGGAAACAAAGAAAAAAAAATTTATTTCCCCCCCAGGCGCGGGGCTGGCGCGGGGGAAGCCCGAGCTTCCCCCGACCCCAGCCCCCAGAACAGCCTGCTATCCGCAAGCCTAGGGAGCCCGGTGCGACTTTGCGCCGGGCTCCGGATGAGCTGCGCGGAGCTGCGCGCCCAGCGCTCGAGGCTGCAGGCAGCTCCGCGCAGCCGTCGGGAGCCCGGCGCGACTTCGCACCAGGCTCCGGATGGCTGCGCAGAGCTGCGCGAAGGCCGGGGCTGCTGGCAGCTCCGCACAGCCGTCGGGAGCTGAGCGCGACTTCGCGCCGGGCTCCGGAGGGCTGCGCAGAGCTTCCTGAAGCCTGGAGAGCGAGAGGGGTCTGTGCGCACCGACCCTCTCGCTCTCCAGGCTTCAGCGAAAGCCTGCATTCGCCCCATAGGACGCACACACATTTCCCCTTCATTTTTGGAGGGGGAAAAGTGCGTCCTATAGGGCGAAAAATACGATACTCAAGTGCGACTATTTCAAACTCTCCTAAACAATACCTTTTTATGTAAATACTAGTTTTATAATTGAATAATATATATCATTTGAGATTCTTCCCCTCACTATAAGAGAAGAATGTGTGCTGGATTTCCTCCCCACCATTTATTTTGGTGTATCATTCTTGTAAATATGAAACTTTCCCAGTCCCACTGGTGCTTAACACAATTTCATGCCCTCCAACTACTTCTCTTCTTCTAAGTGCTTAATTATGTCTTGAATTGACTGCTTAAATTTTGCAGGTGCTGCTGGTCCAGGGTTATTTAGCAAAGTCTGGCTGGGGATTTCCAAAAGGAAAAGTGAATAAAGAGGAAGCTCCACATGACTGTGCTGCTAGAGAGGTGACTGAGTTGCTTTTATGCTCAAAATGAGGTCTCTGACATGTTCCCATGTGCCTCAAGTGCATGTACCATGTTAGTGTTTTTCTATGAGGTGGTGATTTTTCTGTCCCCTGATATATGACAAACGTGGATATAAATTTTTACGTTGTTGTTGCTGCCATTCCTATGCATTCATTGACATTCAGTCCAATAATATTGTACACAGTTATGTAAGAATTGCTTTAAAGAAGAGGTATTAATCCTGTTTATATATTGGTCATACTTTGTGCCAAGTGGCATAAGATAGGGAAACTGGTTGTTGTAGGGCAAGGCTTGCTCTATGGACAGCCTCCTTGGTTGCTTTTCCTGCTATGTAACCAATTTCCCTTTCTCAACATAAAATATAAACTTGATGTGCTTTTGTGGTGAAAGACAAAGTAAACATACAGGATCGCAATGCACGTCATCTTGAGTAACTTCCTCCCCAATGGGTTTTTGAGTTGCTTGCTGTCATTTTTTTAAAAAATGGCTCTTCACATTTTTAGTACTGCGAGTGAGAGACAACAGGGAATTCTATAATCCCCTAGCTGTGTAAATATTCTCTGGAATTAATATGAAGCATGAAAAATATTTTAAATTCATAGATGCCATTATCTGTGTTAAGATTTTCTATATAGCCGATGTAATAAATAGGTTATATCTCTGGAATAAAATTGGATGACGTTATAGGTAACTCGCAGCTTTCGTGCTTTTAACATGTGTAATTTCAACTTTCCTGACCCAACCAGTGCCGTATGAGTCTTACCCCCTACCTCACCTCACCCCAAGCAAGGCAGAGAGCTTTTAAGATCTCAAAGTATACTCCAAAAGCCTGAAAACAAGGCAGAGAGCTTAGAAGCTCTTTTTGTGCAGGGTTTTCCCAATGAGCATGAAGGGTATGGCCTAGAACATATTCAGTGCTTTCCTGCACACTTCAAGAGAAGGTGGCTGTGAACAAACTGTCTTTCAAGGATGCTTGTTTGCTAGCATTGATTTCATAGAGGAAACCCTGATGAGCTTCTAAGGATGTACAGGATTCCCAGAAACAGTTTAAAAACTGCTGAAGGGGATAGCATTAATAATAGTGGATGATTCAGAGAAACTGGAAGCTACTGGAAGCATCAAATTTCTCTAAATTGTGTCTTGTATTGAGAAAATGCTTTGAGATGCATGCATATAAAGCGGTATAGAAATATCTGTAATAAATAGTTTGCTAAAATTGAGAAAGGATCCACCTACTCTTTTCATTTTGGGCTCTTCAGTATATTTATAAGATGTGCAATTACCCTATTATAAAGTTTTTTATTTGTCAAAACTTGTTGTAGAGATTGTTGAATATTTTTGGATAGCTTTGCAGTGTATGTTTGATTTTTAAAAGAATCTCTTTTTAAAGCTGTAGTGAAGAGCTTGTATTTTCACTCACATATAGTTCCCCAAGTGAAAAGTATTAGTCAACTTTTTCATTACTTTGAGCTATAAAGTGAAATAACTAGTTACATAGCAGCTAAAATGCAAATGCAATTTTTTACTCTGGCCTGTGTATTTTCAGGTATTTGAAGAAACTGGTTTTGATATAAAAGATTACATCAATAAAGATGACTATATTGAATTGCGAATAAATGATCAGCTGGCACGCTTGTACATCATTCCAGGAATTCCAAAGGACACAAAATTTAATCCCAAAACAAGGAGAGAGATTCGGGTAAATAGACTTACATGCGTGTGTTTTTTTGTAAGGTCTGATCAAATCATTGGGTATTGAGAAAATAATGATTTATGCGGGACTAAAGCAGTGGACCATTCTCTAGTGCACCATTCCGGTATGCAGGACACCAGTATCATATTGTTGTCTTGTTTGTTAGAGTCACATGGAAGTATTCATATTGCAACAGCAAATGCATGCTGTTTTCTCATGATATATTACTTGTATGCCCCATTTTTAACATCCATTGCTCATCAGGCCTACTTCATGAAGTCCAAGCCCTGGGGTTGCGGGGAACCTGATTCCATAGGCACTTTGCACTGTTTGAAAACTGTAGGCAAAGAAAATAGAAGCGGGTCAAGGCAACATGCATATTAGGGGTGATCTGCAGTCTAAATGGTTTGGTTTGCACATAACACTAAACCTCGACCTGGCATTATGTATGAACCAAGCCTTTCAGCTTAACTTTTATTACCTAAGGATAAAGGTTGCCAGTTAAACAAGTTTTGTAGTTGGTTTATAAACCTTAGTTAACAATTACCATAACTTAGTGTTATGTATAAATCTGGATGTCCTTAACCATGGTTAAGATGCCGTCATGGTCCAAAAACTACAGAACCCTGGGTGAAGAGTGGCAACAAAATCATGACTGCTCTTAAGGCTTAACTGCTCTCTATTCTGTGATGTACTAAACCAAAGTTTGTCTGCCAGACACCTCAGATTTAACCATGGCTTACTAATTATGGTTAACATTATCTACAGTTAACACTAACCATGGTTTAGTGTTATGTTTGAACCAGATCAACATCTTGGAAGAAATTGCAGCACATTGAGCGTTTTTTGGCAGTTGAGGGGGGGATATTCTGAGTTTTCTGTTTTGGGTGGGTCTGCAACATATAGAACTGAATTTTAATCAGTCATTTTCTAGTGATGGCAAAGCATGCTGTTTCCTGATTAGGTGCAATGTGATTTCAGATTGTTATCCCTGTCCATTATTTATGTGTAATATAAGGAATCTCTTTTCTGTGTTTCAGAACATTGAATGGTTCTCAATTGACAAATTGCCTTGCCATAGAAATGATATGACTCCGAAGTCCAAGTTGGGTTTGGCACCTAACAAGTTTTTCATGGCCATTCCCTTCATCAGGTGTGTTCAGGACGAGAGAGAGAAAAACAGTCCTTTATATTTCACCTCTGTGTTGAGGAAATTTTTATTTTTGTTTTCTAAAATTTCCCCTAAGAAGCTGGATGTTGCTGACCCAATATTACCTTCTCCACAGACCACTGAGAGACTGGCTTTCTCGACGGTATGGAGATTCTTCTGATAGTGACAATGGATTCTCATCAACTAGTAGTAGCACACCACCTAAACCCAACATGGAAAAAATGAGGTAACAATCTCTCACTTTGAAATCTACCAGTAACCTTATAGCCATTATATATAATTTTAATGAAATAAGTGATATTTCCTTGTTCAGATGAAACATTCTCTCCCTCTTGACCCCTAAATCTGTTCTGGGGTTCCCCCAACCCTATGAAGTCAATTTGGGATTGGTGTGGGGCATGTATAGGGGAGGAAAAGGAGGAACTCCCATAGTGTGAGTGGGATTTGTTCTATTTGTGCATTATTTTTTAAAATATATAATTTTTTATTGATTTTCCAATATTGTTCCAATAGCAGCTTCATTATAACAATACCAATTTTATCCAATTAATACAGTTATTAATGCCAATTATTCAACTGTCAAATTATACGATTTAATTAAATTGGCCCCCTTGCATGCTAGAGTTGATGAGTTGATTCTTCTCCTTTTTTTCTGCGTTCCAAAATTTTAATAATTTCCATTCAGATATAATAACCCCCTGTATAACAGCTACAATCTTGTGATTTCTATTCGTGTTGGTATTATAGAAAATTTATAAAGTTTCAAGTGAGGAACTTTAGCTGTAATCCTTATTCTTTCCTGCGTGTGACAGTTTTCTCTTTGACAGTTTTCTCACCATTCATATATGGTGTTGTAGTCTTCATTCCTGTTGTTGCCCCAGGAGAAGCTGTTATCTCAGTTTCCAAAAGTCACTGCATCGCTTCATCCCGTGATTCGGCTTCTAGTAAACAAGCCATCTTCACCATTTTTCCAGCCTAGGAAGAATGGTCTGAATCCAGACTGCAGACAGTTAATCCAAAAACTTCTATTCCCGCAGCTTGTAGACTCTTTTGCTCCCTACTGCTGATTTATGACCAATTATCTCAAATACATTCCTTTGGATAATGGAGGTTAGGGAGGATTTTGCTCTGTGTTTCAAAGCATAGCATCCCCCCCCGCCCCAGTTCCTATTTTGTTAAATTCCATACAGTATTATATTCCAACTTCTTCCATCCTCATTTGTGCAGATATTTTTAATAAAACTTGCAGTCCCGGGGAGGGTTGCCGTATCATAAACGTAGAGAAAAACTTTAAAGAAGCAAACTGTGGGCTCCCCTCCCTCCATTGTCTCTTTCACCAAATGAAATCTCTCAGTCCAAACCTTTTACATCCTTGTAGATGGGTTGTTTTTGCAGTTTCTTATCTCATCGTCTCTGGCACGCGCCTGTAGTTTACTCCAATTAGAATCCAATTAACAGGATAACCTGTGCTTCCAGGAATGGGATCGGGGGGGTGTCATGGCAGCCAGAGTGCTCCATGCACCCAGTGCCTTTGCCTGCCCTCTCATTCCATGGGGAAGCGAGTGCCAGACCGCCAGGCAAACTGCAGACGAGAGCCTGGTACCTCTTTCAACCAAAGAGAAATGCAGATAATGAAATTCCTCCATCTTTATTAGTGTTGGGAGAGAGTCCATTCCTGGTGCACTGGAAACAGGAAGCTGCCATTTGTGCAATTATTTAGCTGAATACCACTCCAAGCATTGTCCATAACACCTAAATGGAGCGAAAGAATGATGGAATGTTCTATTAATAATGTTCTATTTTACAGAAGTGTTAACCAGTATAGATGTTGGAGGAAAAAAGACTTGCAGTACAATCCCATACATTTTTAGCTCAAAGTAAAACCTGTTACAGTGGTACCTCCGGTTACGAACTTAATTTGTTCCGAAGGTCCGTTCTTAACCTGAAACCGTTCTTAACATGAGGCGCACTTTCGCTAATGGGGCCTCCTGATGCTGCTGCGTGATTACTGCTCGCATCCCGGGGCAAAGTTCACAACCAGGAGCATCTACTTCTGGGTTAGCGGAGCTCGTTACCCAAAGCGTTCATAAGGAGGACAGTATGTAACCCGAGGTTCCACTGTATGTGCAAAGGGCTTATTCTCAGTGAAAGTGTATGTGGATGCTGAGAGTACATAACTATCATCATTAGCATTATCAACAGCAGTGGTATTAATACATTTGGCATCTATGTAAGTGGTACTTTAATTAGAACAGATTTGGCTGGTCCTTTCCCCGAAGGACTTGCAGTCTAAACATAAGCAGAAGGAAGAAAATGGAGGAAGGGGTAAACAGTGCCATTATTTCAATATTTCAGCCTAGTTACAGTAGGGTATCAGGACTAGGGAATTGTTCCAAAGACCCTCCAGAAAAGTTTTGAGGAAGGTTTTGAAGGGAGCAAGGGAGGCATAAGGAATAGCAAGGGCTGAGTCATTTCAGGGGACAGGAGATTTCTGGACCACTGAGCAGTGTGGATCAAGAAGAGTGAAAGGATATGTTGGGCTGTTAAGACAGAAGTACTAGGTAGTTCTATGGCTATAGGACTGCAGTCTTTACAACCTAAATTAAGATTGGTTATAGCTTGTTGCTTGGCAGGACATCAGTGAAAGTCTTTGAAAACAGCAAATTCTTGAGTTGCCGTACCAATAATTAAGGACGACTGAACAGGTGTTTGGTAAACTGACATATGAAATGTAGCTGCCTTCAGTATTCTGAATCAAATGGCAGTCTACAAATCAAACAGAACCACAGGCAAGTTCACCTACAGTTCATTGCAAGTGCTGAATATGTATGAATTGTGCAGTAGTTTAAAATACTGCCAGGTACCGCTGTATGCTTGTATCATGGGTATTCAATAAATGCATTGAACTGCAGGAAAATGTTATTCAGTGATGTGGCATTTTGGTTCACTGGCCCTTTCTTTTCCCCAGAACACAAATTTAACAAACACTGTTTACATGCAGGCTTTACAGTTCCATATTGGAAAGAGACATTTGCAATAAATCTCATATTGTCTTTTCTTTAAACCACCCCTTGGTTCCAGACATATGAGAATGGACACTTTTGTATGGACAGTGGAGCAATGTGTCTGCCTCTGTGATACATGTGGATGTTTCTGTGATTTGCTGATGATGTGGCAAAATAATGTAATGCACATAATGGTAAAATTTCCACAAGCCTAACTTGGTCACACCTTTGTAGAGATGAAAAGATTGTGGAATTGGCCACACATGCCCCAGGACCTTCTGGTGAAGGGCAGGTTGAATAATATACTCTGCATCTCTCATTACTTGGTATGTACTGTAGTTGACATCTCTGCTGGTCCACCATGTGTGTAGAATTGCAAGCATGTAAATGATCAGTGAACCCTTAGTTGCTCCAGTGCCATTGGCATCATTTGATGAGTGCTGCTCAATGAAATTTTCCTAGTGCAGTGGTGTTTTTCCCCCCCCTGTTAATTGCTATCAAGACAGGTGACCCCCTGGCCGGCACCGTATTGTACCTTGTCACTATAAGCATTGGCAAGCAATGAATCTGAGTGGACTGAGAATCATGCATTTGTCAACAGCAATCGCCACTTTGCAGTGCCTTTGAAACAAGCAGTAATGCCCTAAAGAGGAAATCTATAACATACTGTTGCAATGGTTAATTGGCAAATATAGTCTCATGTAGGGAATACCTAAGCAGTTCGAGTTAAAGCTGTTGTGATCATAATCTGCTGTTGATCTTTTCTAAACAAGCTCCCCCCTTTTTTTGATGGATTAGATCCAAACTCCATTATAGCCAGCCAGTGGTTACAGATGGTCCTTCAGGAGAGCAGTGGACGAAACAAAGGCAGTTGCAGCAACAGAAGCCATATAACAATCATTTTGAGACGTCTGATGCGTTAAAACTAAAGGTGAGTTTCTTTTTAATACATTTTTGTGCTAGCTCAAATTCTGTGAAACTTGGTTTTCTGTGTACATGAGGCATTTTAACTTTCAAACTTCACAAGCTTGTGTCTTAAGGGAATAAGACTGTATACCGTATTTTCCGCCCTATAGGACGCACTTTTCCCCCTCCAAAAATGAAGGGGAAATGTGTGTGCGTCCTATGGGGCAAATACAGGCTTTTGCTGAAGTGCGCACCGACCCCTCTCGCTCTCCAGGCTTCAGGAAGTTCCACGCAACCCTCTGGAGCCCGGCGCGAAGCCGTGCCGGGCTCCTGAGGGTTGCGCAGAGCTGCCTGGGCTCCGCGCAGCTCCGCGCAACCCCCCGGAGCCCGGCGCGAAGCCACGCCCAAAGGTTGCACAAGCTCCCAGAGTGCTGCGCGCAGCTTCGGCATCGCTCTGGGACCCGTTCTGGGGGCTGGGGTCGGGGGAAGCCTGGCGGGGGGAAAAAATATTTCCCCCCCTTTATTCCCCCCCCCCCAAAATCTAGGTGCGTCCTATGGGCCGGTGCGTCCTATAGGGCGAAAAATACAGTATATTACGGTAATCGGAGAATTACTAAGCATATGCACAGTACTTTAATCATCTGCAATTTAGTTATCAAATTTCATTCAGTTTAATATATGCATAAGCATACAGGATGTGGCCATGGATTTTTAACTTCAGTTCCTTCTTTTTCTTTGTGTGGTGGTTTGCTCAGAACCCACGTAGCAATGGTAGAAAGCAATACCAAGACACTCCCAATCAAAAGAAGAAAACTAACGGAGTGCAAAGTCAGCCAGCTAAACAGAACCAAACTTTGGTAAGTTGTTTAATGGTAAATAAGAAGTGTAAACTACATTGAGTGGTCAGCAGTGCTGTAGAATCACAGAGGTATCAAGAAGATTTCAGTGATAGTTGGAGCTGCAGGTGCCTTCACAGTGCCCTCACAGCATGAGATAGGCTGTGGACAGATAAAATGTTGGCTTAGACACTGTCAGCTTCTGGACTTTTGCTGCTCTTGAGACCTGTCCCAGATTTTGGCTGGGTTTAAAAAGGAAGTGGGGGAGTGTCCTCTCGTAACTTTATTTGGATTTGCCCAGAAGTAGTTGAGAAGAGTCTCTTGTGCTTCCTATTGGTAAACTTCCACTCAAAAGTAATCCTGGGGAGGATAGCAAAAGTTGTAACGGATTCATGTGTTGCTCAGTTAGCTAGAAAAGAATGCAAAGTAAAGGGGTTAGAGCTTGCAGTATGAGTTGCCACAGGACATACATATGCTTTCAGATTTCTGTATGTGGTGAAAGACCATCAGGTTGTGGTAACCTTCCATGAAGTTAGTTTGGCCTGCAAAAGAGATTCTTCTTTGTAGCTTTCAAGGTATAGCAACCTAATTCTGCATTTTTAAATATATCTATGTGGTAAGAGGCATCTCTTCTGCACTCTTCATCCGTTGCCAGATACATTTAAAACAAAACTCAAAACTAATACAAAACCCAAACTCATACAGTTATCTTCTTAACCAGAAATGTGAAAAGAAGTTACATCCCAGGAGACTTCAAGATAATTTTGAAACAGGTAAGTATGCATATGCTACATTTTGAGGTTTGCACTTTTGCTGGTTATTTTTCACTGTGCATTGTATCTTAAGCAACACATGACACCCTGGTTCAGATGTAACTATCTCAAGCCATTTAACCATGGTATATAGGGCCAGGCACTAGCCATGAGTGCAGCTATGCTTGCTAACCAGGATACAATACATGCTGGTTTCATATCTTAGTTGGCAACTAGGGAACTTCCCCCCCCACCAAGAACTGCATTTCCTTTGGGGTCATGTTGGGGTCATGTTTTAAGGGATGCTTGCTAGTAGTGGACCTAGCCAGAGTCACCCACCTTTGTAGTGGTGATCTTGAGAGTCTCTTCACCAACCCTCTCTCACTCATACATACACACATACAGCCAGCCCTCCCTCTCTCACCCATACACACCCAACAAACACTTCTCTAGTGTTAATTATTAACTGGGGGGTAGGACACTCCCCCACCCTTCATACCATCTACACATTTTCTCCATTTTGATAAATCCTAACCCTTTGTGGGGGAAGGGGGGAATTCTCATGCAGCTGCCAAGGGAAGATCTAACAATTCCAGCGAACCCCTGCACCACAAATGTGGCAATTAGTTTTTTTATTTATTTAAAAGTCTCCCATTGTACCTATCACGCTGAAGCCCTACACCACAAACCGCAGAAGAAATAGTACCTCCTGATTCTTTATAGGTACTGGGCCTTTTTGTCCTATAAAACTACTGAAGTAAAAACCACACGTCTCAATTCATAGCTTGGATGTGGGAGATTTTGGTAGTGGAGACCAATTGTATGTGAACTATTGTTGTTCAGAAAGTCACATGTTGAACATCAACCCATGATCACATCCTGATTCAGCTTATTTGCTGTATGCAAGAGTCACTTGTGAAACTGGATTGTTCTGTATGTTGAAGGAAGATATTTATCTTACTGATTTTTTCTACGTTTCTCTGACAGTCCTTTTGGCTAAAAGGCAGTATATAAATGCTATGAATAAATCACTTCAAATGTAGATTGTTCCAAGTGTTCTTTCCTGCAAACCTGTTTTAATTTAACAGTTTTTAATGAATAAGTGGCCAAATAATTTGAAACTTTCTTTAGTAATCTGTATGTACTGTTCTTTTTTAATCTGAATAGTAAGACTACTTCTGACACTTGCTGCTGCTAAATAATTTGTTTTATCTTTTTTTTTTAAATCCAGAAGCAGCATATGACATGTGTTGTGTCAATGAAGACCAGCTCTTAGAACATGGACAATCAGGGTCATGCAATGGCCACTGCAAATTCACTTTCTCCTCACGAGCTTTTCTGAGCTTCAAGTTTGACCATGACGCTATCATGAAAAGTTTTGACCTTTGATGGTTGTTCATTTGCACAAGTCTGCCACAGACCTGGTGCAAAGTAGCTGAGCAAGTTTCTTAAATCCAGCCTTTACCCTTTCTCAGGTTTAAAAGCAATGCAGGGACCTAGTGATGGGCTGGAAGGTTTCTCATCGCAATATGGGAGTGACACCATTACAGTGTTGCACTTTAAATGCAGTATAGCTTTTACCTGCAGAGGGGAAAAAATGCTTTCCAGTGTTTCATTTGCTAGTTCCTAACTATGCATTAGAGGGCATTTTTTTTTTGCTGTGTGTTTAGATTTCAGAGAAGTATTTTATTTAGCCCTAGTGCTATACTAACCTCTTAAGTGTTTAGATTTGCTCTGATGTACAATAATTCTTTGGTTTCCAGTATGTCACAACAGGGTGGCAACTGGCCTGAAACTTCTGAGGACACACCTGTTTTGTATTCTGCATTTAGTTAGACCTTTTATGACTTTGTATGCTAAAAGGCAAATTTCTCTTTTTGCTAGTTCAGGATCCTCCTCCCTCGGATCTTCTGGCTTTTGAAACCGTTTGATTCTCTTTTGCACTGTACCAGGTTCTTTTTAAAGGCATGTTTTAAAATGGTAATGGTATAATGAAAAGCTGAATTCTGCTCAGAGATTGTCTCCCTCCTCCTCTCCAGTTCCAGTAGGATTGGGTGGTGGTGTTCAGCTATGGTAAACCTGGTTTTCTTGGTCTGATTTTGCTGTTCCTGCCATTTTGGAATAACAGCAACGGGTTTGAATATGCAGCATGTTAAAATGTGGATTTAGGGGGGGATAATTTTACTGTATAGAATGTAAACTAGCCTTTTTAAAGTACTGCAAGGAGAGAATTCAAAGCATGTTCAGGACAGCACATGATATTCAGCCTAATGAGTTTTGTTTTGTCATTGTACTGATCTATTCTGTTATAATTTTGACCAATATCTTTGGTTCAACATTGAGTTTGGTGTCAACACAATAGTTGCAACAGTTTTAACGTTTTAACAATTTTAACAAGAATGCAGCAAGGAGTGCAAGAGAAAGGCATTTAAGTTTTTATTTTAACAAAATGTACAGATTGCTTAGTCTAAAAAAATCTTGAATGGTTTACAAAACGACGTCCCATGATTGTTCTGAAGGCATGACTGTGAACATAACTTACCTACAGAGCTGCTGCTGAATTTCTCTCTCTTTCTCTCCATATCCTGCCTTTACCTTGGCACTGTAGAACAGCTTGTAATAAGTGTTTGAGATTTCAAAAACCAAACTTCCATCCTACCTGGGTTAAAGTTTGGGAACTGAGTAAACCATTTATAATTTTGCATAGTGCCTCTTCTCTTGCAAAATCTGTATAATCTCCCTTGCTGAAGGACTGTCAAGTAAAGTATAAACTTTGTGAATGTCCATTTTGCCTGGGAAAGAAACTCAAATTAACTTCCAAGTAAATTAGGTTTTATTTACAGGCCATTTTAAATATTGCTGAGTGACAGATTTGCTGAGTAGTTACATGCCTGCCAGCCACATCTATAATTTATTCAAATCAGCAAATTCACTGGATCTGCTAATCTGTTAAGACAGTTGAAAGGTTGGTGATGGACAGAGACACCACTTTCCCCCTGTCCACCTCTATTTAGAGGGGGGAATTTTGGTCAGTATTTAGTGCAGTTTGACTTTTTATAGCAATAAAAGTGCCTAACTTGCTAACTTCTCGTTCATGGCAAATTGCATTTTCAGACTGCTTGTGCCAATCTTCTTCTGATATGTAGCTTGATTTCCCAGGAATATTACTCTTTATGCTGCTTCCTTTTTGGTACACCACGGAACTCTGGCACAGTTATGTGAATTTCAGATATGAAATGAATTCCTTCCTGACAAACACTTAAATCACTGTAGTAGCAGTGAGACAAAACATCTAAAGTGAAACAGCTTTGTGTTCAGAGTGTGCAAGTTCTGCCCTAACGTCTGGATAGACAAAGTGTAGCTCCCATTTTGCAATTCTTTAGCAAAGACAGTGTCAGGCTTCTTGATGGATAACTTACCAGAAGCTATAGAAGACTAACTTGGTTTGTTAAATCTAGCCTTAAAATGGGTTGCAAGTAAACATGGTAAATATGCAATAATTTTCACTTTTACAAGGTACCATGTTTCATAAAGTTGTGTTCCTTAATTTTATTATCATGTATTAAGGGTGTCTGAAAATAACTGTTTTATGGATTCCTGGGTGTCCTGCACTGTGAACATTTCAGGTTGTTTACTTTTAATTTGTTTGTATGGTATGAGTTTTTTTGTTTTGCTTGCAAAGTGTTTAAATGAATCTTTTTATACGCGTGTATTCCAAAGTCCAGGCATATGGTTTACATAGATTTCTGTAAAACAATGAAGAAAAGGCAATTTGGGAATTGTGAATTTTTGTTTCTCTGTGGGCATTTTAAAAGATGGGGGAATAAATGATATGTGAATTGATTTGAGATAATCTTTACAGAAAGATCAAACTGCTTGAATGTTGACTGCTGGTCTGATGTGCTTGAGGAGATGCAACAAACTCCTCTCTGTGCTGCACCTAATTGCATTACTTGTCTGATCCTTTTGAGGTCAAATTATTTCTGCTACAGAAGCAAAGGATGCTCAGCAGACAAAAGACTTTAAACAGGATCCTTGGGACTGCATACTGAGCTTTTGGAAAATGGTTTTGTATAAATGTATGTGTGTCTGTGAGTTGCTTAGTGAAGCTTTGATTTATAGCTACTCTGTTTTGTTTTTGGTGGCTCATGAAGTCTGTGGTTTCTGCTAGACTTGTGTGCTATTGAAAGCTTTGTATTCAATATCTGAGCTTGAGAAAGCAGAATTGAGGAGAAAGGAGCAGTTTTCACATTTAGCTGCACTTCACTTTTCCAAGGGTTAAGGTAGCCTTTAAGCTCAAATATTTGTGTGCTAAGGTTAGCAGTTTGCTTTGCAGAATTGTAGTACTAAATACTGGTATGCAGCTGTGGCAAAAATATAGATTTTAGTTGAATTTTGGGGCTGTTTTGCATGGTTGGTTGCAGGAAAAGCACAGCAGAATTTTGCAGAGTGGCCCATACTAGTGCTGGAGATTTATGCAAGGGTCCTTAGAGCAGCTTCTGACATGAAGCTTGGTATTTGAAAGCTGGTGCCTCTCCCCGTTCCTTCCATTTCTGTCCCATCTGAAACGGAACTGTGAGTTGCAAATGTTCTGAGTCTGGCAGCTTGTGAGTTTTTCTTAGCCGGTCATGCATGTTCCTCTGCAGCCCAAGAAGTCTGAGCATAGCTGTTATGGTAGTTCCTAATTGTGAAACGTGCAATTCAGATGTTCTTGCTCACAGTTCCTTACACTAGAGTGCTTACATGTGACAATAATTTACTGTGCACTGTGAAGGCATCCTTACAGGAAAGTTAGCTATTACTGAAATCTTGGTCTACTCTTTAAACATATGTAGCTATATCTTTTTCACAAAGGGAAAGATAAATAGGCTTAAAACCTTACTTTTTGCAGTAAGCACTGACTGATGCAATATGGCTTGTATGCATATATATTCAGCATGCATTTATGGTTGCTTTTATTTTTGATAAGAACAATGGAAAAAATAAACTCTTTAATTTGTTATTGTCAGGATCACGAAAATCCTAATGTCCTGCCTGGTTTTGAACTCTTCAACCAGTGTTTAAAATAAATATTTAATCTTTTTTGAGAATGATCCAAGGAGCCACATGTCCCATTCTGTGCATTTGTGTATTTTAGTAGGCTTGAAACTGATTTCTCCCCTTCCACTCTCCTTTTTTTCATTTAAGCAGTAGCATTTTTTGGTATGTAACAAATAACTGCTTTTAAAATGGGAGAAGTGAAAAACAATCTTGTTGCGCTCTACAAAAGCAGCTCTTTAGATTCTTGCTGCTGTGGTTTAAATAACATAATGAAACCTGTAACTGTGGTATAAACTATTAGAACTGTGCTTGGAAATGATGTACAGGTTGTTGTTTGAAATGAGTTGATTGAATGGACCAATGTTATAAAAAAGTGACATTTAATTTGTGTCATTAATGAAGCATAGATCACATCAAGAAAGGAATGTACATTTTACAATATATTTCTACAACTACAAATATTTTATATAAAGGATCAATGATGCTACCTTTCATAACGGCTGTAGCCACTGTATTCAACCACAGGTTTGTTCTTGCCCAAAATTGGTTTATTCTTTCAAGCTGAACAATTTTAATGAAACTAAACGTTCTCTGAAATAAATTTTACTTTAACAGATTGAAAATGTGTGTTTAAACAGTAGGGATTGTTCACTGCTATGTTTTGTGAAAAATGGCATTGCTACAGAAGGGTGTGCTTTTGATAGGAGGAGGTGTGCATTCGGCAATCACCTAATCTGACAACTTGTGTTATTTCAAAATACTTTAATGTACAGTGATTTGTAGCCTAGCTTTAAAGAAGAGATAGTAACAAGTCGTTCTTCATAACTTGTGAGAGACAGAGAGCAGTGGGATAGGTATGTATTGCTTTCTTTGTTATAGGCTAGGTAATATAGGTTACTTTTTCACTAAGTTAACATGGTTTGAGATTGGTCTATTAAAAAAAGTACACCGTTAGGTGCTAAGTAAGCTAATGTGTTTATTTTTATGTTCATTGAGCAATTTGATTTTACTTATTACTGCTTTTATATTATAAAAATGCTTACTAGTAAGTTTTGGACTTCTGGATAACTTGTAAACTTGAAATGTGATTATTGTTCTGAACTGCAAAATACAGCTGGGTCATGCCTATAATACTGATGTATAAAACATTGTAACTGGTGTTGTTGCCCCTAGGTATCAGTGTGTGAATTGTCAAGAGAAAGCATTTTTCTGAAAATTTGTGGAATTGCACTTGAAGCCCACAAAACATGAAAACAGAGCATAAAAGAATTGTCATGTGAGTTGTGTACATTCATCCATTTGCCATTAAAACGGTTAATTTTCATGTTTTCATATAAACAATTTGAAAGCTCTTTATTGTGCAAGCACTGAGAAGGGTTTACACAATGATATATAAAATAAGAACCAGGAAAGCATTTTCCTGTCCAGAAGCAGTGACTCTATAACCTTTGATAAAAAAAGAGAAAAAGGCCATGCCAGAAGGCGTAATGATATTTGCATTAGAAATTTATTCAGAATATAAGAACATTTGTAAAAGTATTATAAATGCCTCTGTATAAATAAATGCAGTTTGTACAAGTCTATATCAAATAAAACAAAGTAGCTATTTTACAGCAGCTAAGGAACTAAAACTTGGGAAATCAATTAAAATTGTAGTTTTCCTTGAAAAATGCAAATATAAACAGCAAAGCAATACTGACATTTAATGCAAAATTATATGTTCTTTGTAAATAACAGTACATTCAAGCTGGTGTAAAAGGTTTTTTTATACCTTAACCGGAAAATAACAGGTTTAGAACATGTTCCATGCAACATATGACAAACTCATCGACTTCTAGAAACCTGTTCTAATAATACAACTCAACGTGTCACATTTAGACGAAAAGGACTGAATAATTGACTAGATTTGTCATTAAAACAATCACTTCCATGTAACAATGGAATGGATAGTTCTGGAAGTTTTGTTTAGCATGACAATACACAGCACCCACACACGTCAGGTCTGCCTGAGGACTTGGGCACAGAGATGGTTTTTAAAACAGTTGCATAACTGAATTTTTGGTATTTCGTCTTGAGTGGCAGTAACAGATTTTTGCTTTCAACCTAAACACCTTGAACTGTATACTGGCAGTAGCCCGTGTCTGCTTTTTTTATCATTCTAGCTGCTGATTATGTTCCCTGTGATGAAGTGACTGCTTGTTGAAGGAAGCATCTGATAGGCGGCAGACCTGCTTCCCACCACAGAAACCTACCAAAGCTTAAATTTAATAGACCACCCCTCCTGTGGAAGGGTCATAACATACTCACAAAAATGTTCGAGAACTCATAAATTGTTGTTCCACACAAGTGCTTTAAAGTAACATTCTTGCAATATTGTACTAAAAAATACAGTGGTGCCCCGCAAGACGAATGCCTCGCAAGACGGAAAAACCGCTAGACGAAGACACTCGCGGAACGGATTAATTTCGTCTTGCGAGGCACCACTGTAATGGATCTGTATTTTCCTGCCAATAACCTCTAACTTAAGTGTTTTGGTGGTGGGTGGGACAGTTTCCCACCACTTTGCCCAAACCAAGTACAGTTGTAGATTGGTTTTCAAACAGAATCCGTTTCGGACGTTCGTTGAGCTTCCTGCACTCAATCGGAAGCCGCATTGGATGTTCGGCTTCCAGAAAACATTCACAAACCGGAACACTCACTTCCGGGTTTGCGGCGTTTGAGAACCAAGGTATGACTGTAATGAATTTTGGTAAAGTAGACAGTTCTGGTTATTGAAACACAGCTCACTCCCTGCAAGTGAAATTGGTGAGTACAGGACACATGCATGAATGCAGTCAATCCTGCAGGAAGGATAGATATGGTTTATCACAGCTATTGGTTAGTTAGATGAGAAGGTTGTTAGCTGCCCATTTGCACCAGAAATCAAGAATTAAAACTTTTAAGGTAGTGGTTACCTAACAACCGTGGCTCAAGCTCTGGGCATTTAACGTATAAAACCAGAGTTAGGGCAGCAGTCTTAGTCCAATAAACAATTGGTGCATAGCACATTGGGGACAGATGTTTTACTTTAAAGCTGGAACATGTAAAATCGGAAAGTTGTCTTATGAAAACCTAGAACATGCCCCATTGAATTGGTGGGGGGACAAAGCTAAGAAAATCTTAAAGGGTGGGACAGAAGGGAGTCTCGGTGCTCTTTTATATGTGCTCAGAGTCCTTGAAAAATCCATCAGGATTCGTAGCAAAGCAGTGCCTCTAATATAATATAAAACAAACATCCTTCAGGACTGCAGAGGAATGTATACATTCTATAAATACCTGGTAAAGGTGCAGGTGGGAAGCACTACATGTATCTTCCAGGAGGCATTCAGGTCAGCTGAGCTGACCACCCCCCCATGAACCACATAGCTTCTTTAATCAGAAAGGCTGGTTCTGTAAGATGTTTGAGCAGTGAACGTAAGAAAACTGGTTAGTGGGAGAGTTTAAAAAAGGTGCCCCATACTGTGTAGATGGCGGACAGAAAAAGTTCTGGGCTTCTTTGCAGATGATCTAAAGAAATACTTTTAAGAGTATTTCTTGATGCTCTGAAGACCTGAACTGAAATCCACCGAGATTCTATTGCTCCTGCACCATCAACTCATTTAACAGATCTTAATCACAGAAGCTGTGGCCTGCATCATCTTATTCTAGACAATACAGGTCACATCTACCAACTAGCCTTGAAGATGTCACTGCTTATCCTTTAAACATGCTAAGGTGAAGGAGTTGCTCCTGGGCCAGAAGGTCCAGTTTGGGTAGCAGTGGCCATAGCTGGAAGGTCTTTCCCCCTGGAGTTGGATAACCAAGGCCTCCTTGGACTGGAATTAAGTGTTATACCTTGTCACCTCCAAATCTTAATTTAGGATGGCATTAATTCATTTGGAGAAACATTAACATAGTCTGCTTGTAAACTGAATTTTGCTTAAGAAAGCCAATTCGGATGAAGGGCAAAAGATGACCAAAATTGTCCGCCTACTATACAGCTTGCCAAATGGATAGATGTGCTATATCGGAAAACAACAATGCAGCAGAAAGACAGACAGCAAATCAGGTATAAATGAGAGTTAAACATGCATTACTTAACATTAATTTTCACGTATTTGCTCTCTTCCTGAATGCTAAACCTTAAAAATACAGACAGACAAAACACCCCATAGAGCAGTAGTGGCCAAAATTGACCCTCCAGCTGTTTTGAGACTACAGTTCCCATCATCCCTGGCCACTGGTCCTGTTAGCTAGGGATGATGGGAGTTGTAGTCCAAAAACAGCTGGAGGGCCAAGTTTGGCCACCACTGCTGTAGACGCACCTGGACATTTCACCTCCTTAGTTTGAGCAGGTAAAATACCACAACACAGAAGAGAGACTGCAGCAGATCAGCTAGAGTGAAATTATGTGGAAGAACTTGGGACTGTTGGCTGCTTAGAGAATCAGTTCAAGGTATAAAAGAGCAAGGCACCATAGAGTTGCTTGTGCCACGACTGAGACACTCCTCTTTCCCTGAATGTTTGCCTAGACTCCCTCTTCCTGCCACCAATTAGTTATTGCTGTGTTTATGTCTAGAGAAGAACAGAGGCTAGAATATTAAAGATAGTTTTAAAAGTTATACAAAGAACTGACTAAGGCAACCTGCTGCACTCCCACTGATAACGATGAGTTTTACAGGGCCAAACTAGCATCATCATAACACGTTTGCAAGTGACTTCACCCAGCTTTTCAGGGAGCAGCACCCTACATTCATTTGATTAGGCACATTCCTTACAACCTAAACCACGTTCAGCCTCGGAACTTGATGATTTGATTATTCTGACACTGTACAGCAACTGCATCTACTCCCATTTTAGGGGGGGGGGTGTACAATTTTGTACCGCCTCTACCTGGATCGGAAAAACAGTTGGATTGCCTGCTTTGATTCTGCTGGTATGTCTAGAAGAGAGGTTGAAACGGCATAGCACCCTCCTGTTAGATGGAGGGTGTCAGGCACTGGGTCAGCGTATTCAAAGCTCCTCTGAATTGCCTCTTCCTTTTGAAATACTACTCCCCTTTTAAAATCTCACTTGGCAGCACTAGCTGCAACGCATGCAGAACTGGTTGGCTCCAGTCTCCTGGAGAGGAATTAGTCACAACACTACTTCCTTAGATGTGTCTTGCAGGGCTATGGTAATGTTTGCTTGGGCTTAATCTGTGGCCAGAGGCCACCTACAAATAAATGTCTGGCTCTCCCCTTAGTTAAGTGTCTGAGCATTTTTCTGGAGAGAAGGAGCTAGAGGGGATGGGATAGAGAATTGCTATCCATTCAAATGAAAGCTGCCTGTCCCATGGCCTTTAAACATTCCCTCAAAAAATGCAGGGGACTCAGACAAATGTTCTTGATGCATAAGAACAGTAGAGTGTTCGTGACTGTAACAATTTGGAGGAAGAAAAACGGAAATTTTGTGAATAAAAAAATTACATAGAACCTTGATAAACAGATACATTAACCACCAGGCACTGTCTGATATGCAGAGCCATCCAAAGCCTCACTTAAATTTTTGGCTCCTCTAGATGGCTATATATTGCCAAAGTCATAACTCCTCTTTTTGAGGCACTGACCTCCACCTTTCCTAGATCTGCCTGTGTGTTCACCACCTGTATGAGTCTTTCCAAGAGACAAATATGCAACGCACATGGATTCTTTTCAAAATTAAAAATAAAATAAAAATCTTCCCCTCTACTTAAAGTGACGTTTCATTGGTATGGGGCCTCGAGTTCTCCTCTTCCAGCAAGGCAATTCTTTGTTTGAGCATTCTCACTTGGGTCTCGTGCCTTTCAACCATCGCCATCATTTGGGATTCCAGTTTCTTCAGCTTGTTTTGATGCTTCTTCTTTGCTTTCTCATAGGCAGCCACAAGGTTACTGTTGGAACAAGCAGCAACAACATGTCATTCTGGGGTATTTCATGTGAGAATCTCAAATCCACATCTTAGATACAGATATCTTATTTTCTGGATAGCATCTTCCCCACTTCCAACCCCAGTTGCCCGTGCAACTTTTATTAAGTGGGCAGACGATTTTACAGTTTTCATTGCGTCTGGGGGCATAGATGCAAAGCTGCTGTCTGCTTAAGGGTACAGTTAGTTGCTTTGTTTGCATACTGCTTTTATGTTAACTTTCACTCAAGGTGGTTCACAATAAACATGAGTTTCAAACATAAATAATAATAAAATAATAATAATTTATTATTTATTATTTCCCCAGCCACTCTGGGCGCCTTCCAACTGAATATTAAAAACAATACAGTGTCAGACATTACAGACTTCCCTAACAGGGCCAGCTTCAGCTGTCTTTTAAAAGTAAATAGTTGTTTATTGCCTTGACATCTGCTGGGAGGGCGTTCCACAGGGCAGGCGCCACTACCGAGAAGACCCTCCGCCTGGTTCCCTGTAACCTCACTTCTCACAGCGTGGGAACCGCCAGAAGGCCCTCGGCGCTGGACTTCAGTGTCTGGGCTGGATGATGGGGGTGGAGACGCTCCTTCAGGTATACTGGACCGAGGCCGTTTAGGGCTTTAAAGGTCAGCACCAACACTTTGAATTGTGCTCAGAAACGT